TTGTTTGATCCTATTTACTTACAAGTGAGAGAGGATGCCAAATGTTATTAATTTTCTTTCCTGCAAATCTTGTGTTACCGGGATCTGAGGACTGTCCAGATGCTGACTGGAGTTGGAAACAAGGATTTGGTGGTGACACTGCAGCAGCACCTCTGGTGTGAGGGAACCAGGCACAGGGAAATCCATCTCTGTCCCTGTGTGCAGGGAGTGTCTGTAAAGTGAAATAGAGGCTCTGTGACGTGTCCTGCAGTGCTGGGCAGGAGCTGGCAGGACAGGCCAGCCCCCCTCCCTGTGCCCAGTGTGTTGTTTGGTGTCACTGCCCTTCCTCTGGGACAGCCCCTTTGTGATGTGTCCTTGGGAGTCATCTGCAGGAACTTAATCTTTTCCTCCTGTGGAAGGGTAGCAGATAATCCTTAATAATCCAGCAGAAGTGTGCACAAAGTGAATGCTTTGAATTCCTGAAGGTGAAAATCTTCATCCTGAGTCTTTAAGGATCTGAACTGTTTAATGTTGGGGGTGCTGGGACACCTGGCTGGGTGTGCCTGTAGGGACAATGCTGCCTGAATTATGGCACCCGTTTGTGAGCACCCACAGCCTGCCAGGGCTTCTCTTTATTCTTCCCTGCAGCTCTGCTGCTTTCTGTAGGATGAATTGATCTCAATTAGGTTTTACATAAAGTAAAAGATATCGATGAACTTCGATCCAGCTTTGTTTCTGCAAGTGAAGAAGATTCCTTCACTTTGGTTTTTGTGTGAACACTAAATTTAAAGTCAATACATCCCTAATGGGAATTAGAGTTGTAAACAATCCTAGTTGCTATTTGTCTGACTTTAGTCAAACCAAGATTACCTGGCTTTTATCCTGCTAGGAAATTCAGTGATATTTGTTGCTAGATGATAAATTTTTTATTTGGGAATTTCATGAGTTTATCTGCTTGGAAGCTAAAAGTCAAAAATTAATGAAACCAGCATCTTGTTTGCTGGTGGAATCCAGCTCATTTTTGCAGGATGCACAAGGCAAAAACATTGTTAAAACATGTCTAACAGTGCTAAACAAGGGAAATCTCAACTTGTAGAACCACTTGGCCAGGTTTTTGTAGGTATGGAAGTGCTGAAGGGATTTTCAAACACATTTAAGCAGCTGTCGCCAAAGCATCAGGCTTTATCCTTCATTTGAGCACCCTGCTGGATTAAGAGTGCTGGTTCTGTGTGGCTGCCTGTCTCTCTAGAAGTGTGATCTTCTGTAGGTTTTATTATGATTTTTTTAAAATACAGGAGCTCTAAGAGGGAATGAAAACCTCCTGCTCTTGAGAAGAGCTTGAGCTGAGGTGTCTTAGCTGTGAAACATCTGGTCCATGTAAAGAAACTGTTCCTGCAGCTGGCTCTAGACAAGAGCTGCTCCTTCTCCACAGGCTCTGGAGGTGCTGGTGGTGGGAATGGCAGTGCCTGTGCTTGGCTGCATCGTGCTGGGTGAGCAGGGACAGCCCCTGGAGGCCCAGCCATGGCTGGGCCAGTGCTGGAGCCAGAGGCTCTGCTGCCTTTTGGACACAACTGTGAAATGCTGCTCATTATAGCTAGAGCTATTGATTTATGACATCATTTTTAAACAGCAAGTTCAGGCCTCACAATGTACTTTAGATTAAAATTATGTCAAGTTGGCTTATTTAGTGATGCATTTACTATTTCTTTTCATCCAACTTCTATTGCTGCTAAATATTTGTCATAACGATTTCACAGGCTCCTCTGAGCTACCCAATTCACTTGAGGCCAAAACATTTTGCTAGATTTGTTTCAATAGAGCAAGGCAGAAAACTAGTCAAAATGCTTAAAACTTTTATGCTTCCCTGTATTTTTGAAATGAATGTGTTATGCATTAATATCTGCACATTTTAGGTAAGAAAGGGAATTAAATGCTCAGTTTCTAGCTCTACTTGCTCCTGACTGCAGTGTTTTGTAAGAGGGTGTCCTCAGAGCTTTTTCAAATGTTTATCTGCACTATCCCTTTGTAAGCATGAAATGTTAAATAAAATATGAAATGTAGGCTTATTTTCTAATCCTCCTGAAGTGCTTCCTGCTTGGACAGAAGGGTGAGGTCACTGTGCCCCCAGGAGCGGGGACAGTGCGTGGTGTTGGCCACATCACCTCCCAGACTATCATGTGAACCAAAGGCTGACACTTGAGAAAAAGATATTAAAATAAATAAGTTCACTTTGGCCTTCCAAAGTGGCCGTGGACACCCTTGAATTAACCACATGCCCCTGGAGTCTGCATTTGGCTTCACAGTAGCCACCATTTGGTCTCAGAGGTCAGAACTTGTGTTGTCAGTGTTGCTGTCTCTAAACCCCTAAAGGCCCTTTTAACTTTCAGGGTTTTATTTTACACTGATACTCTTTTTGTTTTATTTTGTGCTTTCAAGCATGTATTTTGTCCTCTTAAGTTGACTCTAAAGGTGACACTTAGGTCACTGTGTTGGCTGGGACTTGAGTTCAGGACTTTGGCATTGCATTGTCCTTGCTAAGGACAGCATTGCCACTGGCTGTGCCCAGGGCCAGGACCTGCTCTTGGGGGTTTTTCCAGGTATCCCAGAAGACTCAGAGGCTGTCACCTGGGTATGAAGGGAATTGATTTGCCTGGAATTTCTTCTTTCTTGCTCATAGCAGCCACTTCCCACAGCTCCTCCAGCAGCAGTGACACCTAGCCAGGAGCAAGGGGCACAGCTCTGCTCTCCTAAGCCCCAGTGGCAGGACACAGTGCCAGATGGGTGTCCCAAATGTCCTTTAAATGTGCTGGAGCATCTGGATTGAGTCCTTGCAAACACAACCAGCCGTGGGTGTCTGAATTTGAGGGGAGGGGGATTATCCTGTTCAACAAAACAGTCATGGATTACTTGATGGAGGCTGGCTTCAGCTCCAGGATAATGCGTAATGCTTGCCCAGCTCTTTGAGAACACGGTGTTAAATACACATGGACTAATCCTCACAGGAATGTGTCCTGTGCTGCCCTGCCTTTTCTACTCATTAGCAAAGCCGTGCCTCTGGCATGGTGGTTTCATTTCTCTCTGATTTATTAATGCTGAGAAGGGGTGTTCCCTTACAGGGGCATTGAAACTTTGCAAGAGAAACGATCCTGTGGTGTGTCACAGCTCTGAAATGGCTCAGCAAAGGGTTCAGCAGGGCTGGGGGGTGAAACTGGGGTCCACAGCATCCGGAACCAGTGGTGTGGGTCAGATGAGCCTCAGCCAGCAAATGTTTATCCTTCTTTCTTCAGGGTCCCATGGGGTGAAGCTGAGGCTTTTAAAAGGTCGCCAGAGGCTGGGGGTGGGGAGTGTGTGCACCACTGAGACAGGATACAGATTCCAAGTCTGGCCTCTGAGGGCTTGAGCAGTTCTGGGAGTGTAAAAGAAGTTGTAAAGGCAGCAAGGAATGCAGATTTTGTAGGGGCTTAAGTAGTTTTAAAACTGGCACCTGGACTGACTGTGAATGCTGTGGGCTGCTCAAGTAAACAGGCAGCCACAGTCCTAGAACAGGCTGGAAAATAGCTGTGATGCTTTTTAAGGAATTCTTTGGAGAGGAACAAATGATCCATTTCCATACAGAGTGACTGTAACTGGCAGAGTAGAATCCTAGAATATGCTGAAGGGGAGGGACCCATCAGGGTCACTTGAGTCCAACTCCTGGCCCTGCACAGGACACCCAGAGAATCCCACCATGTGCCTGAGAGCTTGTCCAAGAATGTTCAGTAACTTAATTTGTAATTAATGGCTAAATTGTAAGTTTGGCAACCTAAAATTCCCCAAACTGGCAGTTGCAACTTTGCCAGTTACAATATTTGTGTTGAAGCTGCTCAAATGGCATATGCAGTCCAAAGGGGAGTGTGTTTAAAACTGTTCCTCCTTGAGCTCTGAGCTTTAAATCAAGAACACTGGAGAGCTGAGCATCCCTTTTCACAGGAGGGCATAGACAAACATTCCTCTATGCAGCTTTTCCCTTATAACCTGGCACTTTGAAACCAAGACTTGAGACTCTTAAAATTGGGAAAAGAAAGTAAAAATTTTAAGTAATTTGTTTTTGTTAAGGGCAGTGGCTTTGGTTTTTAAATTTGCATTCTGGTCTGGTTCTTTTACCTCGGAGGCTCAGAGTGAGAGAGATGAAGGAAACGACTCCTCCTGTCTCCACTCACCTTGTGTGTCTCGTGTGGGGCTTTGTCATGCCTAAAATGTGTTCTCCAGTCATCCATCAGTGCTACAAATGCTTTTACAACCACTTTAGCTATCGCTTGCTTCTTTCCCCCTGCTGTTTGTTTAAAAAGGCCGAAGACATTGCAGCGAGTGTTCTATTCGTGCTCAGATCATGGCAGGGCTATGGAGGAAAGGTGTCCTGGCATTTCTGCATCTGAGTGCTCCGTGCTGGGCTGGGAGGAGCTGTGGCACACAGGAACGAGGGGAAATGAAACCAGATCTCATTTCACAGGCATAGGTTAAACAAAATGAACATTTTCTAGAGATGGAATCCTCTGCATACGTACTCACTGGAGATGGCAGGGTTGTGCAAGAGGACTTTCTAAATGATCTCCAGCAGTGCTTCCTTTTTAAGCTGTTAGTTCAGTTTTGTTTTAACAAAATGTTGGTGCTGCACGGCCGTTTGAAGAGCTCCATGCAACATAAGGTACACTTGGCACACTGTTGGCTCATTTAATGCTCTTTTTGGAAGGGCTGGTGGCCACGTGCTCCTCGCACACAGAGTCACCAGACTGTGCTCCCAGGGATCAGGATGTGCCTGGATATGGGGCTGGAGGGATGGGTCAGGCTCAGCTGCGAGCTGGGCTTGTCCCAAGGCCAGCACAGCTTTAAGTTCCTTCTCAGGTCAATGGTGTTCTGTTTTGCTTCATCTCCCCTGAAAACTCACTTTCCTGGGAAATTCCTTTGTCCATAAGAAGCCCCTCCTGGTGCTGTTGGATCAGACCCTGTGTTCCAGCACGGCTCTCTGCTTCCTTCCCCTGCAGGCGTGAATGACAGAGGAGGTGCCCCCGACTGCACTGACGGATGTGAACCTGCGCCTGCTCTGCCACGATGACATAGACACGGTGAAACAGCTCTGTGGAGACTGGTTCCCTATAGAGTATGTGCCTGCTTTGGGGTGGCAGCTGGGGGCTTTGGGACAAATGGGGTCAACCTGCACTGCTCCAGCTCGGTGTAGCCTCAGAGCTGTTGCCAGGACAGCAGCGGGTTGGGAATCTGTGCACTGTGGTGGTGGTGGTATTAAAGGTCCTTTGCTGCCTGTCCTGCAGCATACTGGAGTCATCAGAAACTTCCTGTGTGTGCATTTGGGCAGGAAAATGGGCTTTGTCATTAAAGGGATGGATCAGCTTCTTGAGAAAGACTGGATGTGGTGGGGAAGGGCAACACCTGCAGGAAAAAGGACAGAATCCCTGTGCTTGTGAAAGGAAGTTGTGTCCTGGAGCGGGGTGCTGGGACAGCACCATCAGAGCTGGCACAGAGTTGTTCCTGAGGGGCTGCTCTGAATGTCCTGGGGAGCTGAGCAGTGCTTCCCTTGGAGCTGCTCCTCCCATACAGCTGATCTCAGCCTGCCCCAGGCCAGCTCCCCAAATCCACACTTGGTCAATGCCCGTGGCTGCTCAGGAGCTTTTCTGGGGGACACTGACAGATTTCTGGCCTAAAGCATCCAGGGAAACCATAGCTCTAGACTTCATGGATTTTTAACCTTAGCTTCATAGAGAATTCTAGCAGATTATAATTAAGATTGAATAAAATGTAACAAATCAGCAAAAGCATTCATAATATTTTGAGTTTGTAGATTTATTTTAAAGGCAAGACATGCTGAACTCTCATTTGGAAATAAATGAACATAAAGTAGTTTCCCTTTAGTAGCTGCAGAAGGAGGAGGAGAACTGGAGGCTGGTGGTGTGATGATTTTTTTTCCCTATCAATGTGCAGCATTTTTTTTACATATGTATCAAATTAATGAGATCCTTACGCTCTTAGATGAGGGCAGATGGATCTTGCATTTAAAAAGAACTTGCTAAAGATGGATGTGAAAGCTCTGGGCAAAGACTGTAAGCTGAAAATGTGATTCTCTTAGCAAGGCAGGAGGCCATTACATGATGAAAGAACCCATGGCACTAAATGGGATGCAACAACTGTTTCCAGTTGAGGAGCATCTGAAGGCTGTTCCCATGGGCTTTGCATCCCCAGACATTGCTGTTTCTGGTTCCTTCCCAGGTACCCTGACTCATGGTACCGAGATATCACTTCCAACAAGAAGTTCTTTTCCCTCGCAGCCACGTACAGAGGCTCCATCGTGGGGATGATAGTGGCAGAGATCAAGAGCAGGACCAAGGTTCACAAAGAGGTATGTGACTACCCTGGGCTTCAGCAGGACAGAATCCACCCCCTGCTGTGGGGAATGGGGATGGCACCTGTTTGGGGTGGGGCTTTTCCCTGCCCTATTCAGACACTTGGTCTCAGTTAGTGTAAGGAGTGAAGCACATGCTGATTTCCTGCTAATGGAGGTGAGGGACTGTGTGGTACCACAGAAGCTCTTCCTGCTGGGGCATGGCCCCCGTGGGGAGCTGAGGGATCAGATCCTGCAGGCTAATCCCTGGCCATGGCTGGTGTAGCTGTGAGAGCACAAAACTTTTTTTCTTAAAAGCTTCCTTGGCTGTACTGGGTCAGCTGTACTCTTTCCTGCAGAAACTCTTCCCTTTACACAGTCCCTGTCCCAAACCCTGAGGGGAGGTAACCTGTCTGCAGAGAGCTTGGACTTCAGAGATAACAGAGCTTGGAGTCCAGGAGATACAGTCCAGTGCAGCAGAGAGGGAAAGAAGAGATGGTCAGTGAAGACAGCATGGGAGAAGAACACTAAAAAAAAAGCAGGGGCAGTGCAGGGAGTGCCTGACTCCTGGAAGGCCCTCAGTGATGTGGTTAAACAATAACCCAACATGCACAGGGTAGCACATGGGTCTCTTCACCTCAGCTGTCTGGCTTCATCTCAAAGCTGATCAAAGTCAGAAGCTGCATTTTCAGCAACTTCTCCGAAAGGCTCTTGTTCCAGACAAGCTGAAAGCCAAGGGTTGATTCAGGCACTGCTCTGGGCATTTGGGCCTGTGGAATGTGCTTCTTCTCCTCCCCAGCTGACACAGCTCAGGTGCAGCTTGCAGGCCACAAGGACTTGCTGGGTTGATCTCAACACTGCTGGGTGGCTCCAGAACTGGCACTTTGAATCCTTCTGGTAAAGAAAGCAAGCATGTTCTGTCCCTAACCCACAAATAATGTACATAGGTAGGAAATAGCATGGTTTGTGTTCTGCCTCTGGGAGGATGATGTGAAAATAGGAATAGCCCCATGCTTGGATATTTTAACTTCCATCCCAAAAGCTTCAGCTAAGACTGTTCAGTTAAGAGAAGTTTCCTGCTTCAGCCTTGAGGAGTTCCAGTACAGGGTTCTTGCTTTCTCCTGTGCCTCCCCAGGTACCCTATTAAAAAACCTATCCCATCTCTACACAGGATGGAGATATCCTAGCTTCCAATTTTCCTGTGGATACTCAAGTTGCTTACATCCTGAGTCTTGGAGTGGTGAAGGAGTTCAGAAAACATGGAATAGGTAAGATGCTGCTCAGTGCCAGCTGTTGGTGTATTTGCCAGGTATGACTGAAGGAGCTCCAGTGTCTCCCTGCAGTATCCCTGGGGGAATGGGAAAGGCTTACCTGTGACTGGTTCCAGCAGGTGGGATAGTGCAGGTGCACTGGGAGGTTTTACTGGTGTGGGCACAACACAATGTGCAAGTATTTCCACAGAGCACAGGCCTTTGTCAATCTTGTTCCCAGGGGCCAGCTGAGCACACCAAAAGCTCACCCTGGTGCTGCTGAGACTGTCTGAAAGTGTGAGAACTTCACCCAGAAGCAGGGTTTGAAATTATTTTCTTTCTGGGTACCAGCAGTCTGATCCCTGAGGCAGAAAAAAGAGCTGCTTTTAATCTTTCATCTTCAACAGATAGAACAAACTGTGAGAAAACCACAAGGGAACTGGAAAATAGTGTAACTTGTGCCTGATTAGATCTCGAATGTACAAGTCAGCTCTGAATGTGTGCTGCCAAATGCAGCATTCCTGCAGCCATTTGAAATCCTGGGGTCAGAAAGGCTTTCCCTCTGTTTAGAGCAGTTGTGTTCTGTCACCAAGTGCTGCCCTTCCAGAGCCATTTCAGGCAGGGTGTGGATCTCTGATTGCAGAAGGGAAGGGGCCAGGTTTGGCAGCGTGACCCAGGGGTGCACACCTGCATCTCTTCAGTGGATATGGGTATAACTCAGCACCTCCAAGTCCTCCCTTCTCCCCCAGGCATGTTTGGAGAGGTTTAAACTTAGAGGATACATAAAGAAATGACCACAGAGTCCTTGGTGAGAGCAGTGTTTAAACCTTCCATTAGAATGCCACTGGAGAGGATTTTCCAGTACAAAGAAGAATGTGGTAGCACAGAATGATCACAGAGGCTGGTAAAGAGATCTTTATGTAAAATTATGGTGGTTTTCAGTCTCCTCCTAATTTTCAAATCCTATTTTTTCCCCAGATCTATCTTGCTGGAATTTTCTCCTTTCAGAGTCAGTATTTCCTGTATCCATTCCATCTGCACAGCATGTTGCTGTGCTCTCTCAAAAACTTAGAGCTTGCACCTGTAGCAAGACAACCTAAAAAAAGCTGCTGCTGCTTTTTCTGAGACCTTTCTCTTGAGTTTTCCTATTGGTGTTTGAAGCTGTAGCCTTTCATGCAGTAGGCTCTTCAATCCAGCCATGCCTCTGAGCACTAAAGCTCTGATTTGCTCTGATTTTTGTGAAAGGGTTTGTTTTCTAGTTCTCTGCTGTTCTTAAAACACAGAACAGCTGGATTTCTGTGAGGTAGAAGATTGGAATATCTCATAACAAAATTGAACTGATCTTTTGTTGATGTCTCAGTGTTTTTTTTGGTCTTGGCTGATACAGAGTCTCAGTAAGTATCAAGAGAACGTGAAGTCAGTGCTGTTGACTTCTGCTCTGAAATCCTGTGGGTCCTCCAGGGAGTCCTGCAGGCCCTGGGGATTGTGAAACAGCAGCTGCCATCTCCCCTGTGTATTAGTCAGGCTGATTCTTTAGCCTGGTGTTACCACACCTGCTGGAAGAAGTTCCCATGCAGGTTCTGCTGGGTCCTTCATGCCATGTTGAGGTGGTGTGGATGAACCCCCAGGTCTTGTCTCTTGGGGCTGGAGTATCCTCTGACCCCTTCTCTGGTTTTTCCTGCTGGCTGCAGCAAATCCAGGCTGGAGGAGACTGTCTCCACTCCTCCTTAGAAGGCATCTTAAAATCCCAGCAGTTCTTAGATTTTTATTCAAGTTCAGCAGGCACAATACAATAACCTGCTTGTGAAGTTCTGTTTTGACACTCTGCTGTATCAAATGGCTTTAAAATAAATACATGTATGGGATGGAACTGATACAATTGAAAATGAGTCACTGACCTCCCCAAAGCCAGGAGTTACTGCTTGGCTGGGGATGAGCAGTATTGACAAAGTTCTGTCTCATGCTTGGGGTTATTGAGGCAGAGGTTTGTGTCTTTAAAATCTCTGGGGTTTGAAGCTGTGGTCATAGGTGAGGCCGTGTAAGAAAGCCATGTAGAAGGTCCTGTGAGAACTGGGTGGGATTTGGGGTCTCCAGGTGTGTGCAGCAATCCCTGGTGCAGGAGGGCTCAGCTGGGCCCCACACACACTGTGCTGCCTTCCCTTCAACAGGTTCCCTCTTGCTGGAGAGTCTGAAAGATCACATCTCCACCACTGCCCAGGACCACTGCAAAGCCATCTACCTGCACGTGCTCACCACCAACAACACAGCAATAAACTTCTATGAAAACAGAGACTTTAAACAGCACCACTACCTGCCCTATTACTATTCCATCCGAGGGGTCCTCAAGGATGGCTTCACCTACGTCCTGTACATCAACGGCGGGCACCCACCCTGGACAATCTTATATCCTTTCCCTGCAGGCTGCTGAGCAGAGGCCCAACCCTGGTTTGGGTTAACAGCAGAGTGTGGGTAGATGTGGGAACTGAAACCTGCTCAGATGTGGGTTTAATCTGGAGCTGGAAGGAGGATTAAAGTTACTTGATGTGGAATGGTTGGAGCAAGTTGGATGCCAGTGAGAGCAAGTGCTGGTGTTAAGCCAAAGTTCTGGGTGTTCTTTGGCTTGTAGGGTGCAGGATTTAGCCATGAACAGGGCAGAGAAACCCTTGGTCTTGCTTCCTGTGACCTGGGATCCCCTAAGAGCCTGGGCTGGCTTGGATCTCAGCAGGCTGCTCCCACACTGACTTAGGGGATTTGTTTCAGGTCAATGGATCATGGAGAAGAAACTTGATCGTTCCTGGGTGTAGCTGGTCAGTTCCAACCTCCCTGGGCAGGGGGATGGATTGCTATCCTCACAGGATCTTCTGTGGAGTGCAAAGGGAACTGCCTAGAGCAGGTATTTCCCACACCAGCTGGAGCTCCCTTCCCAAACTGCCAGCCTTTACAGGGCAGAGCAGAGCTGCTTTTGATGGAAAAGTAGAGGCAGTGATAGCAAGGAGCAGATCTGACTGAGCTGAACAGCTTCCACTGTGTCAGGGGTCCCTGCAGGCAGGGCAGCTCCGGGAGTGATGGATGTTCTTTGCTTAGTTACAGTGTAAGTGTTGCTGTCCTTAACTGGTGGCCACTGACTACCTACAGCACATTGGCTCCACGCTCGCCAGCCTGAGCCCCTGCTCCATTCCCCAGAGGATATACAGACAAGCCCAGAGCCTCCTCTGCAGCCTCCTGCCCTGGTCTGGCATTTCTGCCAAGAGCAGCATCGAGTACAGCCGGACAATGTGACGGACTGGGGGCGCACAGGAAGTGCAGGTGGGTGCTGGGGACAGCTCCCTTCCCTGCCATGGCCACTGTTCTGTGACAGATCCTGGAGTGAGTTTGGGCATGGCTGTGCTCCAGCTCCAGCCAGCAGCTGAACTCCTGCAGCTTTCATTTGAAGGAAAATAAAATTCTGACCCTGTTTACTGGAGCCCAAAGCCAACAGCAGGTGGAACCTGCTGTCCCTTCCCTTTTCCCATCTCACTACAGGAAGTGCAGGTGGGTGCTGGGGACAGCTCCCTTCCCTGCCATGGCCACTGTTCTGTGACAGATCCTGGAGTGAGTTTGGGCATGGCTGTGCTCCAGCTCCAGCCAGCAGCTGAACTCCTGCAGCTTTCATTTGAAGGAAAATAAAATTCTGACCCTGTTTACTGGAGCCCAAAGCCAACAGCAGGTGGAACCTGCTGTGCCTTCCCTTTTGCCAGCTGCTGGAGCAGAGTGCAGCTCAGTTCCTGAGCCCTCAGAGCCCCAGCACAGTGACTGGAGGCCCCAGTGCTGCCAGTGCCATTGCACGTGTCTCTGTTTCCAGGACAGTGGCTCCCCAGCACACCTTCCCTAAGTGTTTCCCTAAAACATCTGCCCTCTTTTCTTTCCATAGGATTGTTTCTCCTTCCACCTGACACGCGGCTCTGGTTCCAGTGATGACAGCTCTTGGCCGGTGACCCGGCCCCGGACGGGACTCCCTGTTCCGCAGGGCCTGACCTTTGGTAGAACTTCACCCTGGGGCTGCAGCCCCGGCTCCCCACGTGGGTGCGGCGGGCCTGGCGGCGCGGCAGCCCGGGCCCCTGGCGTCACCACTGCGTGTGCATGCTGCACTGTCCCCGCCACTCCCCTCGCCTCGGTTTGCTCCTCCCCATAGCCGGGATGTCGTGGGAGGGGCTCAGCTGCTGCTCCCGCTCCATCCACAGCTGCTGAGAGCAGCTGAGGGAGGTTCATGGATCTGCACTGAGGAACCACTTAAATGGACTGGGAAGCCCTGGCTGCCAGGGCAGAGGCTGCCCTTGTTGCTGGGGTAGGGGGCAGCTGGGGCAGGAGAAAGGGAGGAAAGGGAATCATGTTTAGGTCCTGCCACATCAGCTGCTGGTGCGTCCTGTGGGTAACTTCCAGGGAGAGCAACTGCCTCGCATGAGAAACTACCCAGCCCCACCAGCCCTCTGAGTGATGTAAAAAGAAGCATATAATTCAGGATGCATAAAGTAGAAGGCAGGGAATGAAATTGCTATTTCATAGTGAAATATATATGTATTATATGTATAGATCTTTCTGCCTTTGTCCAGGATGGAATGTAGCAGGGTTGGGAGCTGGGAGTGTAGAGTCTGGTCCAGAGCCCTTCTCCCCTTCCTTGGCACCAGGCTGGACTTTGCAGGATCTTGAGGGATGGGATGTGTGCACAGATCACAACAGCTTTCCCTAGCTGAGGAAGGTGCCCCAGCTGCTCAGTGCTGGGCTGTGGGCTGTGGTCTGGGCACCTCTGGGCTGTGCTGGGCAGTCTCTCACTGGCTGCCCAGTCCTGTCCAGGAGCCTCTGGCTGGCCTGAGTAGCTCATGTGCAGCCAGGCCAGGGGCCCTGCTATTCCCACGGCAAATCCCCCTTCCCTGGCCAAGGCTCTTCCCCTGCTCAGCACCAAGTTCCTTATTCCAACCTCATTTTTTAAGTGGGATGGGAACTGAGGGCCCCACGCTAGAGCAGGGCCTGGATGGGCTGGCACTGCCAGCTGTGGCAGGGGCTGGGCAGGCCCTGGGGGTGACACAGGGTGGGCCTTAGAAGAGCCAACAAGCACCTTCAGCCTGGATGGGCACTGAAAGCCCTGTCAGTGACCAGCCCCGGGAGCTCACTAATAAAAGGATGCAGGAGATGAGCTGCTGTGACTGGTGCCAGGCTGGAGAGCAGGCAGCCTCAGGGGCTGGCACGTTTCGTGTCTGAGAGCAGCACCAGGCTGTTCTGGGAGGTGCTGGTCCTGGGGCTCAAAGAAAAGGTAAAGAGGTGTTTAAAAGGGTCAAACAGGGCAGTGATGGAAAGCCCAGCCTTTGAGACCTTCAAGCCCCAAGGTGCAAGGGCTGCCCTCGTAGTGGGCCTCTTCCATCCCATCCGTATGTCGTCTCTGGCCACCCTTTAGTTCAGCAGTGCCAGTGGCACTTTGTAGGCAGCTCCACCCCAGCCCCAGTGCCTCCTCAGGGCCCCTGACACCCTTCCAGCCTCCGTTGTTACCAGTTTGGGGTATTTTTGCTTATCCGCTTTTACTTAACACATCTGTTGGTTGAGTTTCTTTAGCAGCCCAAGCCCATTTTTTTCTCAGCACTTGCTTTCTCTGGACCAGAATGAAGCTCTTCTCTCCTGACTGCCTGGGGCTGATGTGTGTCTGTCCCTAGTTTCCCTCCTGTCCCTTACACAACCCAACTCCGCTACTCGAGCACATCCCAAAGGAGCTGTGACTGGTCTGTGTGTCTTCGTACCACCCTGTCCTGAGGTGTCAGCCCTGTCCCCACCATAGCCCATTATTTATTGAAGAACCTCTTGCTAAACATCTTCAATTAAACCAAACCTTTTTTGAGTTGTCTGTCCCTGCAGAGAATCCGCCTCTGACCAGCTGCTTGTGCCCTGCCCCTCGGCGGGTTGACCACAGACCCTTTTCTGTGGGGCTCGGGGAGCTGCTGCTGCTGCTCCAAGCCAGGGAGAGGTGGGCCAGGGAAGGGGAAGCAGCTCCACGAGGGCTGATCCTGCCCTTCCAACAGAACTGCAGGACGGGTGGGTTTTCCTAAGGCGCAGCTGCAGCACTGGGCTCCTCGCCGGCTGTGCCCACTTCAGTCAGGACCAAGGCCCTCAGGCACAGCCTGTGCTTGGGAGCTGCTCCTGCACCTGGGACAAGCTGCTGCCAGCCCTGCCTGGAGCCCTGGGGAGCACAAGGCACTCTGGAGCAACCCAAACTCAAGGGCTGTCGTGGTGAAGCACCTGAGCCAGCCCACACCTCTCCTGCCACCCCCAGCTCCCCCACCCTGCACCTCCCCAGCTCAGGGTCACCACCAGCTCTGCACCAACCCTCAAGAACAATCCCAAATGTTAAACTTTCAGCAAAGCCATTTATTCCACTTTCCTGCTCCCACAGATCTCCAGGTAGGGACCCACATGAGCATCCCCAACGCCCCAGAGGGAATTCATGGCACGGCTGCCCCGTTGTGCCAGCACCCCAAGGGGAGCCTGGCCACTAACACGGGCAGAGGTGCTTGACCAGAAGCCCCGGGCCTCAGCTGTGCCCAGTGCCAACACAACCACGTCCAAGTCAAGACGGGGCATTAAAAAAATTAGATGTTTTGTTCCTTACAAATGAAAGGGGGACCTGACAGCAGCAGTTGTCCCTGAAATCAAAGCGTTATTCTAAGGCTCTGGCGCCCGCACGTAAGCACATGAACTCTCTGCAGGGGCTGTGCAGGTTGATCTGGGAAGCTCGCTAAGAGTTTAATGGCCATAAAAATAAAATCGCTTTTCCCTGCTTTAGACAAACCCAACCCCTCCGGGCTGGGCAGTGGGATCGCGTGGGCAGCCACTGCAGCCAGCCACGGGTCGGAAAGTTAGAAGTCTCTCAGCTCACCCACTTTTAATTGAGCGCCGACACGGCGGCGTCACTCCATCCCCTCGGCCTGCTCTGCCATAGCATCCGCGCCCAGCCCCACCTGCTGCTCCAGCGCCTCGGCCTCGCCCTCCAGCCCCACCAGGTGCTGCTCAGCCCCCCCGTGCAACATGCCCGGGTGCTCTGCCCTCTCTCCCAGCTCGTTGCCCGCTCTAGCCAGCTCGTTGCCCGCCTTGTGGTGTCCGGCTGCCCCTCCGGCGTGGTCGATGGCCGCCTTCTTCGGCCTCTGCGTGGCAGCCACCGCCTCGGCCAGCTTCTCCTCCGGCACCATGTTCAGGATCTTCAGGGCAAACAGGAGCTGGAACTTGGCGGTTCCTACGAAGGAGTTGGCCAGGAAGTTGGGCAGCCCGCCCATGCGATCCTTCTGGGTGTAGAGGGGGACACGGACCATGCCCATCACCTGCAACAGCACGGGCACGGCTCAGCAGGGGCCACAGCAGCGCCAGCCCCCCCGCCCCGCACCCCTCTGCCCCACACCCTCACCCAGTGCCCGCCAGCCCTCGGCCCAGGCGTGCCCTGCCCCCGTGCCAGGTTCTGCCCCTCCGTCCCACACCAGCCCCTGCCCTCGCTGCCCTCAGCCCCACTGAGCCCCTTCACTGCCCCTGCCCAAACCCCCCGGGGCCCTGCTCTGCCTGCCCAGCCCCTCAGCCCAGCCCTGGCTCTGCTCCCCCTTCTGCCCCTTCGGAGGGATCCCGCTGCCCCAGGCCACTATGGGGAGTCCCACTTTCCCCTCCATCCGTGCCCTGCGTGGTGGCACCACGGCTAACCCACGAGTCCCCCACTACCAGGCCACAACCCAGAGCCCGCTGCCTCTGCTCGCACGGCTGCCAACACCCACCGGGCGCCCCGTGGGCGCGGGGGGAGGCCCCGGCTCTCACGCTCTGCCCCGGCCCCCAGCCGGCCCTGGCTGCCCGGAGCAGGAAGGTGCCCCCCGCAGGGGAGGAACTCGGCTCACAGCGACATCACCACACCGAGGTCATGGTCCAGTCCGGGGCACTCAGCCCAGGGCAGGGGGAGATCTCCCCAGCTGCAAACGGCCCTCGCCCACATCCTGAGGCCGAGCGGTAACACGGGGCTCATCCCTGCGTGGGTGGACACCGGGAAAAGCTGGAGCTCAAGCTCGCTATGCTCTGGAGCCTGCGGCACGACCCGGCCACGGTCCCTAACGCCGATGCCGCGGGCGGTGCGGGCACCTGCCGCCGGCAGCTCTACCTGCGGTGCATTCCCCGGGCGGGCTGGCCAGGGCAGCCCGGCAGACCCAGGAGGGAAGCGGCGCCTTCCCTGGGCTAACTGAGAGCTCGCACACCCCTCCCGGGTGTCCCACCTCCATCCCGTGGTCTCGGGAATGCACCGCGCTGATCTCGATGGTGTGCAGCTCCTCCAGGGTGAGCTGCCTGGCGTAGAAGTGTGCCACCACGCGATGTGGCCCCTCTGTCAGGTGCGAGCACAGATAGTCAGCTTCCGTCAGGCGCACACAGCCTAAACCCAAGCCCAGCACCCGATTCAGACCGTCCTCCAGGGACCAGTAACGGCGATCCACGAACCCCCCGGGAAAGCCCAGCAGTCCGTCAAATCGCATCTGCATCTGCAATAGAGGCGCAGGGTGTTAATGGGGCACGGCGCGGCCCCCGGCGGGGGGCGAGGGGGCGTCACGGAGGCCTCCGGAGGAGCCGGAGGAGCGCGGGAGGCGTCGCGGCCGCTCCGTCGCGGCACCACCAGCCGGCGCATCCAGGACCATTCACCGACAGCGGCCCGGCCTCGGGGCTCCGCGCCCCGGCCGCACAAGCCCGCGGGCCCGGGGGCTCCCCCCCGGGCTCGGGCCCAGCCTGATACTACCGCCCTGAACGGGAACCACCGCGGAGCCACCGCCCCTCAGCCCGCCGCCCCCGGAGCCCGCGGCCCGACCCAGCCCAGCCCGCCCCGACCCAGCCCGAGGGCCCGCCCGCCGCCGCCCTGGTCCCAGCCCCGGCCCGGCGCGGCCTCGCCCCCCCCTCACCAGCACGGCGTAGCGCAGCGGGATGCGGCCGAACAGCATGCCCGGGTTGGGCGCGTACAGCATGGCGTGGCACGAGTGGCTCCAGCCCGGGCCGAGCCGCATCGCCTCGTACCGCGTGAGCGGTTTCAGCTCGGGCACGCCGGGCACGCCGAGAGTGGGCAGAGGCGGCAGAGCGCCCATGGCGGGCAGCGGGCCCATGGCCGCCATCGTCCCCACGGCCGCCATCGCCTCGCGCCACCGCCGCCCGCTCCGCGCACGCGCCGCGCCCACGACGCCGCGGGGGCGGGACCGCCGCCGGCCTCAGCCAATGGGAGCGCGCCGCGCGCCGCAGAGCCAATGGGCTCTCGGCGGAGCCCGCCAATCGCCGCGCGCGCCAGAGGCGGGGCGGTCGGCGGGCGGTCAATGAGGGGCGGGCGGGCTGCGCGCGCCGCTCGCCTTATTAGGGCAGCGAGGAACGCGGGGGGCCGGCGGCGCGCGCGGCCAATCCCAGCGAAGCGCGGGGGGAAGGAGGGGCGCCGAAGGGCACGCCGGGAAGGAGGCGGGGGCGGGAACGAGCGAGCCCTCCCCCTGTGCTCTTGCCACGCCCCCCGCACCAACCCCCCGCCACCTTGGCCCCGCCTCCCGCACGCCAGCCCCGCCCTCCGCTCCAGGCACGGGCCCTCAGCCCCTGGCCACGCCCCAGCGCCTCGGCCCCGCCCTCAGCCCGGCCCCGCCCCCAGCCCCTCGGTGCACACGGACGCGCGTGGCTGCTCCACGGGTTTATTACTACAAACATAGACGGGGAGGGGGGATGTGCCCCGGGACCCCCCGCAGAAGCAGAACAAGGCACACGGCGTGGGCAGCGCCGGGCTCTGCGGGAACGGGGGCGCGGGGGTCACCCCGAACGGGCTGGGACGGGGCTGACCCCCAGGGCCCCCCGTGACGGCCTCGGGGTGGGCCGGGGCTGAGCCCCGCACTCCCCCGCTCCCGCGGAGCCCCGCGCCCCGGCAAGGCGGGGAGGGCCACAGCTATGTACAGGGGCAGTGACAGCAAAGGGCTGTGCTCGGTAAGTACAAAATATACATCGGTAGTGTCCTTCATCTGCCGACTCGGACCCCAAACCCCCGCCCCGGCCCCACGGACACCTCCCACGGAGAAACACGACACCAGCCCTACCCACCGCCAGGAAACATGCACGGGCTGTGCCGAAACCGCGTCGGTGCCACACCCCGCGCTGCGTCCCGGCAGGGCCCGCGGGGCCCGGCGGCACCGGCAGGGTCCGGCCCCGCTCACGAAAGGCTCTGCTCGTCCTCCAGGTGCAGACGGGTCTGCTCGAAGAGAAGGGGCTGCGTGGGGCTGCCGGTGCCGCGGACGGGGAGCGTCTTGGTGAAGTCGGACGAGCCTGGGTGAGGACAGGGAGTTCAGTGCCAGTAACGGGAGCCCTGGCGGGGTGCTCAGCCATCCCTCCCACCCTGCACTGACCACAGGAGATGGGGCTGCGGCCAACCACTCATCCCCTCAGGCGCAGGCCGGGTGTCACGGCTGGGACACAGGACACTGAGGGGGCACGCTGCCTGCCGCAGCCCGGGAGAAGCCAGCAGGGCCTGGGTGTTCGTGGTGCCCAGGAGGCAGCAGAGCCCGCGCTCAGCAGAAGCCAGCGCGGAGGCGTTTCTGCTGCCCGGCCCGGCGTCCTGGCTCTCAAGGACAGCAGGGATGCTGTGCCAGGAATGGGAAGGGAGCGAGGACAGAGCCGGCAGTGCAGCCTGGCTGGTTTGCTGCCCCTCCTTCCCTGGCCCGTGGGCAGGACCAGCCCCATCCCCGCTCCCTGCCAGCACTCCCAGGAGGGCCCTGCTGCCCCACACAACAGGAATGCGTAAGAAGAACGAGAAGACGTACCAGCTTACTCCTCTATACCAACAGAGCAGGAATCAGGACCAAGTGCTGCCCAAGACAGGAGGGAGGAAGGCAGACAGAGAGGGAAGGAGACATTAGAGAGGTAACTCAGAACAGACTGCGACTCTACGGAAGAAAACAGGCTGCAACAACAACAGTCAGAGTGAGGAGAGCGCAGTGTCCCACGGGCGTGCTCAGAGCACGGCACACCGGGACCCTCCCTGCCGTGACAACACTGCCCCAGTCCCCCAGCTGCTGGCCCACACGGCTGCCCTCCCTCGCCCCAAAGCAGGAGCACACTTGGGAGCACACAGGAGGCCTTTGTCACACACAGCTGTGCTGGGAGCGGCTGTGGCCCAAAGAGAAGAAAGGAGGGGAAGGACAGAGACACGAGGGTGAGGGAGGAGGAGAGAGAAGGGGGCCGAGTTACCTCTGTGTAATCCCCCCTTGCCCACCGCTCGCCCTGCCCGCTGAAGCGGGAGCCCGTGCACCGGGCAGGAGCGTTCCAGCCCCATGCCAGGGCTGTGGGACACAGCTCCACAGACCCCCGGCCCCAACGGCGCGGCCGTTACCTGGCAGGAAGACATCGACCGGGGGGTCGCTCTCGGAGCGCGTCAGGCTCCGGCTCTCGCCGCAGCCGCCGTCCTGCAGCACGTCTTCCACCGAGGGCGGGCGGCTACCTGGAACCAGCCGAGAGCGCGGCCCCTCAGCCCCCAGCGCAGGCCACGGGCGCTCACGGCCAGGGTGCGTCGAGGTCTTGCATGCGAGGAAGCTCCCCAGGCCCCCTAGCCCCACTGGAGTGCCGGTCACATTGGCCCGGGTCACGGTGCCGAAGGGCCACCTCCTCACGTGCAGCCTCGTGGCACAAAGCGTGCCCATCGCTCCTCTCTCACCCCGTCCTTCTCCCCTCTAGGTGCTGACTGAGCACCAGAGACCCATCCCAAGGACCCAGAGACCCGTTCTGTGTGCCCAGTACCATGGATGTGCTCTCACCAGGACCCCAGTGGTGTCCTCACTGGTGTAAGCAGAGCTTGTGGCATGGAAATCTCTACCTGAGTAAAGCTCAGAGCAAGGCAAGATGCTTGGCAAATAAACCAGGAGACCTGTGGATTTTGCTCTCTCGGCTCTAAGAAAAGACCCTGGCACCTTTCCCTGGTGAAGAACAGAGCCTCAGAGATGGACTTAGGGGGCTGGATGTTTCTGAGCTCATTTGTTCATTCCTCAGTTGTCCCTGTTCCACCACAACAGCACTGAACACCGAGCCAAGGTCTGGGTGCACCCACACGTACCCTGCTGCACCGATGAGGCCTCCTCCATCTCTTCCCCTGCCACGCTCTGTAAGGAGGGACAGCACAGGTTACTTCTGCAGCTGGAGCCTTTGCTGTGCCATTCTCCTGCTTTGGCTTTTTCCAGGGAACTGTGCTCAGGGCCAGGGCTTGTTCCAAGGCAGGAGCAGGGGGCTACCCCAGTGCTGCAGCACCACAGGCTGGGATAGAGGGGTCTTACCAGCAGTGGGCACTGGAAGCTCCTAATGCCCAGCTCCCACCCCCGCCCCAAACACTGCTAGGCATGCCCAGGATGCTGGGGAAGGTCAGCTCTGCCATGCCTCCAGCTGAGTGGTTTTCCACTGCCAAAGAGGTGTCAGGAGCACAGGGAGTGGCTACATCCTTCCCCATGGAGCCTTAGGGGTAAACAAAGCAGCCAAGACTCTTGGCTCAGGGCAATGGTCCTTCAGGAGGCACTTCCCATGTCCCAGAAGCCCCCCAGAAGAGCTCTGGCTCAGAAGCCCCCCAGCAGAGCACACACTTACCTCTGGAGAGCTGGTTTCCCTCAGGACCAGCTCACCCCCGCTCAGCACCGCCTGCGAGTCAGAGTCCTCAGAGAGCTTCTCCTCATCCTCCTCATGGATTGGGGATGAGGGAGACCGTAGTGTGCTGCAGCAAGAGAAACTCCATTTGCAGGGAGCTGCCAGCACCCTGGGGCCTGCAGGACTTGGGGGCAGCACAAGCCAACTCTCCTGAGCAGGAGCTCAGACTGGGGAGCTGAATTCACCAGGGCCTCCAGTACTGGCTGCATGGAGAACAGCAGCAGCGGGGCAGGACAGAGCCAAGTGGTGCCAAACTCCAGCACAGCAACAAGAGGCCCAGGTCCCACGCTGCTCCTCACACTTTCAGGGCTCCCTTCCCAGGTGAAAATCTGGGCTGGAGCAGTGAGGAGTGCCAGGACAAACCCAGTCTGATCTGATCTGAACAGCCCCATATCCTCACCTAACCCCTCCATCACAGGGCCAGCAGAGGAGCCTTCAGACCAGAACTACAGGATCTCAATTCAGCACTTTGTGCTCTGAAATCCAGGTCACTTCTCTCCCCATTCCTTTGCTCCTGAGGAGCTTCATGGAAAGCTGAAATCCAATGAGGTTTGGACATCAAATGTAAATTCTAGGACTAAGTGCATTGGGAAGGAGACACTTCCATCCAAAGTCTTTACTGTGGGGGTGGTGAGGCCCTGGCACAGGTTGCCCAGAGAAGCTGTGGCTGCTCCATTCCTGGAAGTGTCCAAGACCAGGATGGAAAGAGCTTGGAGCCACCTGGGATAGTGGAAGTTGTCTGTCCACAGCAGGGAGTTGAGCTTAATGAGATGAGCTTAATGGCCCTTTCCAATGCAAACCCTTTTGTGATTCTATGATTAAATTCTCCTTGTTAGAAATCCTCTTTCTTTTGGTGACAGAGCCAGTCCTTAGGAGACACAAGCTGTAACCTCAGGCTGAACACAGGGACAATGTCCCAGTTCCCCTCCTGGCACAAGTACCTGCTGGCCTCCTAAAGTTCTGAGTTAGCTGTGCTAACAGCAGTGATGGGAGCAGCCAGAGCCCTCTCCTGGCTCCCAGTGCTTGTGGCCACCAAGCCCCAGGGCTTGCAAGGGGAGCGGACCCCACGCCCTGCTGACCTGTCTGGAGACTTGCTGCGCTTGCCCTTTTGGTGGGCACCCTCCAGGGCTCTGTCCATGGCCACGAGCGGGCGGCTGGCGGGGGGCTGCCCGTCCACCACCCCCGAGTAGGAGATCTCGTCGTACAGAGGGGCCGAGGGCAGCGAGGGCGACACCGAGCGCAGGCCGTTCAGCGCTTCCAGCAGCGAGATGGGCTCGTAGCCTGCGGGGATGTTGTCAGAGCTCTGCGGGTGACAAACGGGGGGGACGTTAGGAAAATATCACCAGGCTGGAAGCCTCCTGCTCCCCCCAGGCAGCCCATCCCCACAGCCACCTCTCCGGGCCTCCCTGGCGCCTTCCCTGGACAGCCACACATTCCCCTCAGGGCTGCAACGCTGGTGATGCTCCAGGCAGGTTACCAGAGCAGTGCTTGAGAGGTTGGGTATCCCCCTGACGTGCTTTCAAGAGCTGGGCAAGGAGGGTGAGGAAGCAGGCTCCTAAAAAGCTGCTATAAAATACGTTTGGATTTTTTTCTCCTGAAAGCTCCTCCAGTGATTCAGAGACCCTTCCAGCTCAATGAACATCCCACTTGTGCTCCCAGCCATGGAACATGCAGCTGTTTCACAGCACCACCAGTGTCACCAAGGCAGAGCTGAAGGAGGGGAGCATGTGGGCACCAGCTAAGAGATGGCTCTTGAAGCCTAGCCCAGTTCCACTTCTCCCATGTCCTCTCAGCTGCTAACACTGGCTCCATGCACAGCCACCTCTGCTAAAAGGCAGGAAAGGGATCACAAAACCACTGACCTCGTAAGGAGGAAGGAAAACCACACCACCTCCCATTCTCTCTGTAAGTCACAAAGCTGCCACTCAAAGGGACCCTTGCAAAGCCATTAAATCAACACTGGTTTAACTCCAAAAATCCTTCTGATCATAAAGACCCTGTGGACCCAGAGACAAACGGGGTTTATGCTGCAGCCCAGGAGGCCACAGGCAGCTCAACCCAGCCGGATGCAAATCAAGAGGTGACACTCCCACAGTTCAGGCTACATTAAATTGAGATGTTTCAGTCCTGTGTCCTCAAGGAGGTGGTTCTAAGTTGTACAGAGGATGGCACTGTGCTGCTAAGCCTGGCCATGAACCTCCACAGAAGCTGTGTGCCCCACGCTGCAGATGAACCTGCCCAGCAGCCTGTACCAACACAGCCCCTGATTTGGTGAGAGCTGACTCACCTTGGTCACAGGAGGAGTTAGAGCTGATGGGGAGCGGCACCAGTACATCCCAGTACTGGTCCTGTGAGTGTTGTGAGCTTTGAAGATAAAGAGCTCAGCTAAACAAGGAATGGGTTCCCAGCTGCTGTCAGCTGTAGCTGGTGGGGCCAAAAGCCATCTCCAAAAAACTTTTCATCTGCAGACAGCAGCCCAGCTGTGCTATTCTGTGTACAGAAAAGTCAGGGAGACGAACTCCCCTGGATTCCTGTTTGGGGCTTTTTCTCCTGGCTGTGCAGAGCAGGCCCTGAGGGTTCAAAGACTGCCTGGTGCTGTGCTGAAAGTTCAGGTTGCACGGCACAGCTCAGAGCCTGGAGGAGGATTTCCCAGCCCATGGCTAGGACACCCTCACTGGGACACCACTCCCTTCTGGGACACTCACACCACACCCAGGAACACTGCCAGTCCCTGTGGGAGCCTTGCAGAGAGCCAGGTCATGCCAGAATGGGTTCAAACCTGAACCAGCACCAGGTTTGCTCCAGACCTTCAAGCCCAGCAAGCCGTGTTCCTGCAAGGCCGAGCATCTGAGGCGGCTTGAGCAAAAGAAAACTGCAACTTCCTTGACAGAGATGACAGCCACGGCTGCATTTGATGGGAGTAAACAAAGAGGGCACAAGCAGCCTGCCTGGCCTGGGGGCTTCCTCAGGTTTCTCCTTCCCAGCTCCTGGACCCCACAATTGCCATTCATGCTGTCCCCAGCACAGCAGTCCAGTTACACACTGCCAAACTCGCTCAGAGGGTCCCCAGCCAAGACAAGCTCCATCCTTCCTGTTCCTGAAAAAGCAAACCAGCCTGTCACAGCCAGTGCTCCTGGATGCAAGACCAGCTCCAGCTGCACCTCTGCATGCCAGCACCACAAACCACACCAAGATGTGCCCACACCAAACTGCCAAGGGGATGAGGTAAGTGCAAGGAAGCTTTTGGGTGAGCTGTGGGACTGCAGCTTGCCCACAGTCCTAAGAAGCTGTGAAAACATCTTGGCCAGGAACCATAAATCAGCCAGGAGACAGTCCCTGAGAGTCAGCATCAGACCCCTGTGCCAAGCTTGCTTGCTCCTCCACAGGCAAACCAGGGATGTCAGTGATTATCTGTGCAGGGTGTGAGCATCTCACTGCCAATGTGAAGGACGTGGAGTGTCACAGCCTGGCAGGGGCACAGGCCAAACCCAGCGTGTCAGCAAGCCCTCGTGTGTGACACTGCCACGTGCAGGTGACACCGCTGGCAGAGAGCTGCCAAGTGCAACCAGCAGAGTCCACTTACTGTTCTTCCTTCCCTCCTAGGCTTCCTGCTGGGCAGGGAGACAGAGCTCACCTTAAGGGGTTTAAAGGGGTGCTGTCAAGAGAAAACCATGTTTTAAAGAAGTTGTTTCTTGAGGTTAAGTGACAGGAAGAGACACACAGCATCTCCTCACCTCTCTGCAGGTGACAGCACCCGTGTCCTCCACACACCACACTCTGCTTCACAACCCTCAGGCCTTCACCACCCTATTCCTCAGCCCCAGCCGAAGGCAGCAGAGGGCAGATGGATAAAGACAACTTTTTTCTGTGACAGTATCTGTTCCCATGAAAGCCTGTAGGATGGTCTAGATGCACTTGTCCTTCTCCTCACTCTAATCTCAGTGTCTCACCAGAGCCAGCCGTGCAACAGTGCTGCTCAGGCGAGGAGATGCTGCCCTTACCACACTGGGACATGCAACTGGGCCCTGAGGCCACCAGCATGACACTTCCCATCACACACTCCCTCAGATGCATGCCAAGACACCCAGGGAAGCTGCCACAAGGAGGCCTTTCTACTCCCATGCTGGGAATCCCAGTGCCAAGGGCATTTCATCTGTATGCTGCCACAGAGATGTGTTTGCAAGTCAAATTGGAACCCCTCTGCCCTGTTTTCACAGCTCCCACTCTGTCATGCCCAGAGTCTGCCACTTTTCTGTTGGGCCAGGCAACAAGAAACCTTCTCATCCTGAGATTTCTGTGGATTTGTTTCCTCTAGTCCAGTTGTGTTGATAAGAAAAGGCAGCACTGCTTGGGCAGCCCTCAGAGGAGGGTGTGACCAAGCCTCCTGAGGTCCCAGCCATCAGTCCAAGCAACTCCTGCACCCAGCAGCTGCTTGCCCCGGCTGAGACCAACGGCCAGGCTTTGCACAGGGGTCAGCAAGTACTCACAGAGTGCTCATCATGGTCCACACTCTGTGCCAGGACAGGGCTGAACGACACCGGCGACAGAGCCCCCGGCTTCTTCCTCACCGCCCGGATCTGCAGCAGGGCACGGAAGGCTAGGAGAGAACAGGAGGTGGTGACTGCCCAGCCCAGCAGGGCCAGGCCATGCCAGAGCTCCTGCTTTGCACAAACACACTGTGGGCACGAAGGAGCTCCCCTGTGCATGGGGAGTGGGGCCATGGAGCACCCCAAAGCTGAGTGATGGGGTCGGGCTCCCATTGATCTACACAGGGAAGGGATCTGCTGGCTGAAAAAGTCTGGGTGCACAGAGCCCTTGTGGAGAACAGGCACTGCCTGCCCCACTATAGTCATGGACAGGGTACTTCAGCTACTCTACAAGAGTATAGGCCCGAGAAGCTTCCCTTAAGGGTAGGTCACAACAACACAGTAAGAAAAACGTGAGCTCAGCCTCAGGAGTGCACTGCCTGCTACAGGTTGGGTGGGGGACTTATTAAATCCCCTTTGGGCTCCTTCAGACCCCACAAACCTCAGCCCTGGGGTCTAGCTGGGGCGGTGAAAGGCTCCAACTGAAAGGCTAGTGGCTGTACTCTTGTCTCCAGCACAGTCACCCCTCAGTCCTCCCACCACCAGAGCTTTGATCTCCGCTCCCTGCAGATCTCTTCTATCTGCAGATCTTTAACGTTGCTTGTTCCTCTCTGCCAAGGGCGCATACAAACGAGCCAGACATCTGTTCTGATGCAGCTGTGAGAACCTGCCAGGCATGTTCCTAGTTCTTGTTGCACCTAGCCCCTTCAAGATCAGCCTGGAGCCAAAGAACAGAGGTACAAATCTATCCTTGCTGTCTCTGCACTCCCCAGAAACAGATTCCCAGGAAGTCTGAGATGGGGGCACTTTCCAAACAAATACAACCTACTCCCCTATAGCCTGCAGATGGGACAATGCTGTTCCTGTGTTTTATGATGTGCTACTTGTAGTCAAAGCTGTCTGGCACTTCCTCTGGTGAGATCTTGCTTTTGGTTACTGCTCTTTGCCATGTTTAGACTGTTTGGATTTAATTTCTCAGACCAAACATCTGTCTTAGGCTCTTTATTTCTTTCCCTGAGAATTAGAAACAATCAAATACCTCAGAGACCAGGGGATAAAACACACACTCTGCCCTTCCAGCAGAAACACACAATTCTCAAGGGCCTCCTGTACCTCTGTGTTTCTGAAAAAACACAGAATTCAGCAAATGCTGCCTGAGTGTTAAAACATGTATTTAAGTTTTTCCATCTTTTGGGAGCTGAGCAATACAGGGGTTAAGCAAATCCTCCTAACTCCTGGCAGAGCAAAAGACTCCAAACTGACTGTTATCTCATCCCTGCCTCCTGGTGAAATCTGGGTAAGGCTGTCAGAAGATAAAAAAAAAAATCATGCTATGTACTTGGACACCCCTCCAGTGGTGCTGGCTGCTCTCTCAGCCAGATACCCTCAGGACAAAGCTTCTCCATCCCTTCCTTTGGGGGATTTTCCATCATCTTCACCAAAACACAAGAACTGCTGACATGGCACAGCTCAGAGCACCTGCACCTTCAGATCCACCCCAGGGGCAGGGTGAGTGAAGAGAGCCCTTCTCCTCCAGTGCTGAGCCTTGGGGTTGGGTACTGAGAAGAGGCTCCTCCTCCCAGGGCAGGGGCCGGTGTCTCAGGTTGGAAATGGGGGTTTGTATTCTACTCCTGTCTGATGGGGCACTTATCTCAGGCTCCTGCCTCCCTCAGCAGACACCTGTCTGTTCAAACCAGGACACCAGGGCACTCAGAGCCTGCAGATGGGGCAGGGGCCGGCCTGGCCGGGGCACTCACGCAGGCGGCAGATGGGGCAGTTGTTGGCCTGGTAGCGCAGGGTGTCGGCGCAGGAGTTGCAGAGGCAGAGGTGGCGGCAGGGCAGGATCAGGGTGTCCCGCAGGTCCGACAGGCACACCACGCACTCGTTGCTGTTGTCGCTGTTCTCGTCATCTGAAGGCTGCAAGGAGAGGCAAAGGGTTGGCAGGGCAGTGGTGGGGGCTATGCCAAGCTGCCAAAGGACAGGAGCCTGGGGGAATTTCCCACCCTAAAGTCTGGAAATTCTCTTTTTGCAGTTCTCAGCAGGGGTTCCTCAAGGAGAGCAAACTGTAGCCCACGCAGCCCGGCTCACGCTCCTTCCTCTCAGGGTACTGCACTGTGAATTCATGGCAGAGTTGTCCTTCCCCACAGCCATGTTCTGTTCAGAGGGGACCCATTTTGGGGTAGGGAGCCCCTTGACTGCAGCTGACCAGGAACAAGCTCCTGCCTCCCATCCTGGTGGCTCCAGGGTCAACAGGGAAGTGAACTCTTTGGCACTCTGGCCTTTCTTCCCCACAGACAGAGCAGCCCCACAAGGAGCTGTGTGCTGCCTGTTGTTCCAGCCATGTCTAGCCCAGCTTCCACAGGTGCCCTGAGCAAGTGAGTGATTCTCCTGCATCTCCTGTGCTGGCACAAGCTCTGGTGCAGCTGCAGGAGAACCAGCCCAGGGCACTCAGCTGCTCTCAGCTACCCTGGTAAAAGGCTCAGTGTGCACCCATTCAACATGAACATGTTTCACACCCATATTTCTCAGAGCCCCACAAACTGGATCACAACCACTGATCAAGATGGGAGAGAAACTCCCTCTCCAGCCACAAGACTGACACCAGAAAACTCCAGTCTCCCCACTGATGTCACAGAAGTTGTGCCAGAGCCCACCACAATGACCCAGGATGGGCACCCTCCACCTTCACCTGGGGCTAACATGTGCTAGACCATGAGCAACCTCGGTGTAAACAGCATTTGATGCTGCTGCCACATCCTCACCCAGCCTTTTTTTTTAAGGGAGAGCAGGCTCTTTGCTATCCCACTCACATGGTTTGCTGAATAAGGAAGAACAAAAATGGCCCCAGGCCACTTGTCTGATAGGCCAGGAACATGGGATTGCTGGATCACGAGAATCCTCACAAGACCCAAAAAGAAGCCCTCAATCCTGTTAATTCCCTCCCTCAATACCATGCAAGTAAAACCTTGGAAAACACTTCTCTCTCCTGCCTCTTCAGGTGCTACCTGTTGGCACAGGCAGATAGGGATCACAGGATGCTCTGGGCAGGGCACTGGAGAGGAAATCCTGCTTGTCTTGCTCCACTGTGTGCAAATAGTGCACTCCACATCCCGGAGCCGTGTGATCCCAAGGCCAGCACTGGGTACACTCCACAGCCCAGGTGGCAGCAAAGGGCAGCTCTACCAAGGCTAAAGGAAGAATAAAGCAGTCACACAACCTGTGCAGGGCTGTGCAGCAGGCTGGGATCCAGCAACAGCTCCTGCCTCAAGATGGGATGTTTCTGGTTACGGCATTTACATATACATCCCTTAGGAGTGCTGTGCTCCCTCCTGCTGAGGAATGCAAGAGGAATGTCTCTGGACACTGGCAAGCCCCAGAGAGCTCAGTTCTCTGGAACACTACTGGAACATGCAGAACCCTCAACCAGAACATGGAGGAACCACAAGAGCAAAGCACAGACACCAGGCACGACTGCCTTGACTGCAGAGAGACAGCAACAGTGGCTCTCTACAAGCCCTAAAAATCAGTGCTCTGACACACCCCTGGGGCACTGATACCTTTCTCTCCTAGCAATCCCAGCCACAGGGAACATCCTCAAAAGCCTCATGCTGCCTAAAATTACCTCAGCACAACTCCACTGTTTGGGCCTGACACCAGGGATGGTCTGTCACCCCTGGGCTTTTTGGGTGCCTGCAGGAATCACACAGCTTGGACTCTGGGAAGCACCTCCACATTGCCCTGACAATCCCCATCATTAAGCTCAAAAGCAGAAGGTCCAGGCTGGAAACTCCCAGCTGAGGAAGCCTCCTTTACCTTGGTCTCCTGGTTGTTTTTGTTCTCGATGCCGTAGATCTCCTGCAGCAGGTAGCTCACCCGGTCAACCTAGGGGAGAACACCACAGCTGGAGTGACAGCTGCTCTGTCCTTACTGGTTTATGACCACCTTCCCTCCCTCCCTGTGTCAAATGTCACTATAGCTCCCCTATACTGACATGAAAAAGGTAACAGAAACAAATATTGCAAAGGACAGCTGGGAGAATGAAGCTCTCCTTGCTCAAAAAGTAGAGTCCATCCTGCCTGGTCTGAGCAGAGAGTAACAGAAGTGGCTAGCTGGGCTATCAAGATAATCTAAAAACAAGTACTCTGCTTGTCCCAGACGTTGGGAATACACACCCACAGCTCAAATAATCCAGAGGCAATCAGCCTTCTACACTCCTCTCCTCTGTGAGGTCCTGGTTAACTTCAACCAAGATAAACTTCCATCCATTTTTGCAACCTCAGAGGATGGGCTGTGTCAACAGCTCCTTCCTGGCATACCAGTGGCAGCACATCACCTCCCTGCTCATCCCCTGGGAGCATAAGGTTAAGCTACTGAGGACAGACAAACTGTGTCCCTCAGCATGAGGAGCACTCAAGGAATAACTCTGTGTTAGTGCAATGTCATTTACTGCCACCCCCAGGCCCTTGGTGGCATCTCTAAATTGGGGGTGTGGTGGCAGAAGGTGCTTGAGGCACAGGTGGAAGTTGCTCAGAGCCTCAGCCTGGGACAATTCCAAGCCATGACTTCTGCAAACTGGCAGCTGCCTGCAAACCCCACTGAGCAGCTGAATTTCAGCACTGAGGCTGATTCAGTCAAGATTCAGTCCTGTTAAACATCTTTACTGATGATCTGGATGAGGGGATCAGATGTACCCTCAGTAAGTTCACAGACAACACAAAGTTTGGTGGGAGTGTTTATCTGCTGGATGGTAGGAAGGCTCTGCAGAAGGATCTGTAACACCAGGGGAGGCTCAGGTTGGGTACCAGGAGGAATTTCTTCACGGAAGGGGTTGTTAAACAGTGCAAGAGGCTGCCCAGGAGGTGATGAGTCACCATCCCTGGGGGTGTTCAAGGAACGACTGGGATGGGTGGAATGGTGGGATCAGTCACAGGATGGACTCGATGATCTTGCAGCTCTTTCCCAACCTAAATCTGTGATTCCGTGATCTGGTGCTACACAGCAGCTTCCCCAGAGCAGGATGTGTTCCTCCACAGAAAGCCTCACAACAGGTAAAAGGGTGAGGGGGTTGCAAGGTACCAAACAGGCACATCTCACAAAAAGTGGGAGGAAACACTTTCCTGCCATCTCCAGTAGCTGTCCAGCTCCCAACATGCAGTGCCACCAGCACCCCATGATAAAAAGAGCTCATCAATCCCAGGGCCTCTGTAATTTCCATGTCAAACTGGCTCCTCTCCCTCTCCTCTCCCCTCTCCAAAGAGGAGTGGCTTTGCCATGGCATTCCAGTGTGGCAGAAGGTGACACATGGCAAAGTGGGGGCAGGAGCTGACTGTACCCAGCCCGTTTGCCAGTTCAGAAGTGCTCTGAGCTGGGACACAGCAGTGATAACAAACTAATTCCAGAGTGTCCCTGTGTAACTCAGTGTGCAGCTCACAGACACTCTGTTCTAGGCCTGCATTTCATGGCAATGAGATCAGCTGTTGTACTGCTGAGCAAAACCCTCTGCAGCGGCTCACAACTCACCCAGGAAGTTTGGGAACAATTATGTGGGAGATATTCTTTTGTAACTTGGCATTTCAAAGAGAGCCTTGTTCCAGCATCCTGACTCCTCAGAGGATCATGATGAGCGACTGTAAGTGCAGAAGTTGTCAGCTCAAAGCACAGCAGAGGTCAGGAAGAAAGAGGCCTGAGTCTCTGTAGGAGTCTGTGTTCCTTTTGACTTCTTCCCTCTAAAAATCCTGAGGAGCTTCTGTCCCAGTAGGGAAAGGGTGAGCAGTGCAACAAAGCTCTTCCTGGGAAGAACTCTAGGTTTTCAGAGTGGGAGTAATTCCGAAGGAGCAGGTGGTTGTACACAATTCTTCACCTTCATGCTTCTCCAACCCATTCCACACCATGTCATCCTTCCAAAAGCTTCTGCTGCCATTTACAGCCTGGCCAAGTCACTGGCCAAGCCCAGGTCATGGTTTTCTGCTGACCCAACTGTTTGTATTCACCCATGCTGACTTTCTTCAGACAGGTTGGTGCTTACACTACAACTGATCAGCTCATGCCCTGCTGCTTCCTGATCAATGCCCACAAAAGGTACCCACAACCCTGGCAATGGCAGGGAGGGGAAGGCAAAAGAAAAGTAGGGATGGCAAAGCACGTACAGTGTTATACAGATGGTTTACTCCAGACTCTACACCTCTGCTCTGTTCTCCTAAGGGTGCAGATGCTATCTCAGTTTCAGTGGTGCTGTTTGTTTTTCCAAATGCCATCTTGAACTATGATTACTGACAGTGCTTGTAGCTCTTTTCTGACCCAGGGACTCAAATTAACATCTTACAGCAAAGAGTGTCTTATTAAGGCACTTAATGACCTTCTTGGTAGCAAAAGGTACTTAATTCAAATCAGAAACCCCTAGCTATCAAGTAAGCAGATGAAGTGAAACTCATTTAAAGCTAAAACACAGCACACAGCTAAACCTGAAAGGATCAACCACCAAAATTTCACCTCTTTCTTGAAGACATTTCAAACTGATCCTTGCAGCACAATCACTACCAGATTTCTTTTCAGAAGCTGAAATTCTTGACAATCTTACTTATGTATTTCTGGCTATGCAGGACTGGATGCAATCTCAATTGATAAGACACTTCTTTCCCAGCTTCTTACCCAGCTTCTGCACATCACACCACACCAGGATAGGGGACAAAATGGCAAAATGAAGGGTTGCCAGCACCTTGCTGCCTTTGCTTACAATATCAGAGCTAAGGAAGTGAGATCTCAGGCTCTCAATGAACACCAAACCCCCCCTCTGGGTACAGCCAGGCACTTCACCAGCAAGTCTTTAAGAGCAGAAAGGAAACAGGTACTTACGATCTGCTTCTGTTTTAGTGGTTTCACAGAAAAACTGCCATCAACGTGCTAGCAGGGAAAAAAGGGCATTAAAGCATTAAACAGCTGCATTAAATAGTGTACAAATAACAGTATTAAATAGTGTACAAATCAGAATGAGCTCATTTCAGAGCTGGTGCCTGCTAACTAAGGGGACAGTGGGATGTGTATCAGCCTGGATGGCAGCAGTCCCTCCCAGCAGAGTTAGTGGAACAGGGTATTGGGGGGCTACTGGTCTGCTCCAGTGCAGAGCCAGGTGGACTTGGCTCAAGTTAAACCTGGCTGAAGTGGGTCAGAGCCCACACAAAACTCCCCTGGCACACTTTCAGGCTGCAAGCAGTCCAACTGGGTGCAGACACTTCTTCAGCCAGTCCAGCAAGACTTGGTGGGGGATATTTGTTAACACCCTAAGTAACACCAAGTGGCAGAGCAAGGGGCTGTCATGAGGCTGAGAACAAGGTTTGTCCACTGGATGGAGTCAGAAACAGGTCCCATGTGCTCCACATCCTCAGAGCTGTGAGCCTTTCATTTGCTCAGTGGCAGCAGGAACAGCTGGAACAATTCTGTGCATGCCTGGTGCCAGAATTAGTGATGGAAGTAGTGTGCCAGTTCTACTTCCCCATCGTCCACAAGGACCGCTAAAGAAACCAACTCCCCTGCCACAGCCTAGAGAGCAGCAAAGGAGACTCAGGGGATGCTCCAGCAGGTCCTGTGAACAGCTGCAGGTCTGCAGGAGTCCCAGAAGGAAGGGACAACAACATCACACCCCAGACAAAACAGTCCTGTTTTCAGGCAAACAATTTCTGCCTTTGGAGGAGCTGCAAGGTCAGACTACACACGGGACCCAAGGTTATTCTTCTGATCTTAAAGATACATACAAATAGCAAGTTACCAAGTCCTGCTGGTCTGTTTTTCCTCTGAACAAGCCCTGGGGATCAGCAGTGCTCATTTATCAAGGACCTCCCCTGGATTTATGGACCTACACTTCAAAAGCTGCAATTACTTTAAGGATGGGGAATGTATTTTAACCAAACAGGGAAGATGAAGAACTCAACATGTACTTTGCCTTGTGACTTTTTATTAAAAGGGAGATTTTAATCTTGTTTTAAGCATCTTCAGTGGAAGATGAGAGATAAGAAGTGGCTGAAGTATGACTGAAGGATTCCAGTGTGTTGTTTTTGCACATTAGCCAGAGGAAACTGCAATAACATCCCTGCCCTGGTCCTAGGGGTGCTGCAGCTGACTCCATCTCATTTCTGACAGATGTCCAATTGCCAGGAGTGAAGCTACCTACAAAGCCAGTGCTCAGAGCAGCCTTTCTAACACGGAAAACTCACTTTCTTCACAGATCAAGTCCAACAAAAAAAGCAACCTAGAATACTTAGAGCATCTTCCAGCCATATGCTTCCTTAGGACTGACTGTGCTTGCCATGCCCTCTGACTCAGCTTGTCACCATCCACATTCTCCACCTCAGAGGAACAGAATCAGGACCTGGCAGGGACCAGGCACACTGAGATACAGAAGTCAGCCACCTGCCAGCTGGGAAGTGGGGAATTTCCAACAGCACAGCACTGATGCTGCTCCCCTCTACATTTCCAGCTCTGCTCCAGCACCTCTTGCCTCACCTCAGCTTGTCACTGCAATATCACCTGCCCAGAAAATGTGTCTGCAGTATTACCACTACCAGACACAACAGGGTTAGGTCCAGTTATGGATACTGCAACTGTTTTCAGGGTCCAGTTACCAAGAGAAGAGAGTTTGTTATCAAGGCTTGTGCACACAGCTTGGCCTTACCATGTGGGCAGGGGTCAGCTACATCAAACACACCACTCAAAAGCAGGGGAACTCAGCCTTTACACAGGATGCATCCCAATCCTTGGTCCTGGGTGTAAACTCAGACCTAACAATAATGCAACAGGGTCTGGACACAGCAGATCCAGTTCTGCAAAAATCACGAAGCCCTGGAAAACTGCATGGCAGCAGCCATGGCCAACACCTTCCCCCCTCCATGGGAACACAGGAAATAGCCCTGCCATTCCCTGAGTGACCAGCTCAGGTACAAATGATAATTACAGGCTGCACAGGAGCTGCTGCAAATGATTCCTTGTACTATAGCAGCAAGCAGGAGCCCCAGGCACAGGCCAGGACTGCTGCGCCAAGTGTTATATAAATACAAACTAATGACCCATGGAAATGTTTATATACACAAGAACAGGGATAAAACCCCCCTCATTTACCTTTTCAAATGCAGCCAGAAGAACATGGGCATGACCAGTGACCTCAACCACCACTGCAAAAAGAGAAAGGGCAAAACTGGTTAAACCTCTCAAGCAGTACCAGCATAAAAGTATCCTGAGTTGAATTTTATTCCACTTACAATTTCTGAGCTGCCATCTGCTCTATTTTCACCCTCTCCTGCATTTAGAATTTTTCTTATCTTGTCATCAGGCTGGTTCAGAACAGAGCAAGAACAAACCCCTGCTGGGCTCTGTGGTGGGCCCTACACAACGATGCCTTCATTGTCCTGGGTGCTCCAAAATATCCCACTTTGTTAGCAGAGGTTGGAAAGGGACAGTAAAACAAAGCACTCAGTGGGATTCTCCTGTCCCCTGAAATTCCTGGGCTTAATTACCTGAATTTATCACAGATCTATCTGGTTTAACACCAACTGTCAGCACTTCCAGCCCTGTTATTTATCATTTTATTTCAGTCTAGTCAGACACGCTTATAAAACATTTATTTCTCATACCAACTTCAGACACTGAAACATCTCTGTCCAGCTTTCCCCTAAGACAAGCATTTTCCCTCTTCCAAACTTGAGGGTTCCCTCTTAATCCCACAGCAATGGGAAGGGGCTGTCAGAGGTTTCAGTACTGCATTCCTGGCTACTTCAGCAAATAGAGAGAAGAGGAGGCGAGGTACAATTCCAGTCTCTCTCACTCTGCCTCTGAGGTTCTGTTCAGCTCCAGCTGGTTGGATCCTTTTCCTGAATCCTGTTCAGACTCCTCATATGGAAATGGGAGACAAGGCTTGTGAAGGAGTCACAGAGGGAAGGAAGGCATGTTTGGAGTGATGAGGGCTGTGCTCAGCACAGGCAGGAGAGCTCTGCCTGGAAGGTGCAGCTCAAGGAAGCAACTCCTGGTCTGTCTAAAAGGCAAAGGAGCTCCACGGCTCCCTTTGAGCTCCCAGACAGCAGAGAAAGCAGAGGAACAATTCCCTGGACTGTGGCACTGAGACCATGTTTGGAAACAGCTGTATGGAGAGAGGGGAGATTTGCCTGCAGATTTGCTGGGTAACTGAGGTTGGTCATGGCAATTTGGGTGGAATCAGGAACACAACACAATGCAGAAAAGGGGATTAAAACTGGGAATTCATCTGCTTGCTCCTCTCACTGCCAGCCAAGAGCAAGGCTGCTCTATCTCTTGGAGTAAACAAAATTCAGGTCCCTTCCCTCAGTCAGAATGGCCAAGGAAGAGGTGACAGTTCAGTGGTGTGACCTGCTCTGTGCAGCACCTTTCCTTCCTTCTCTGCCTCTCCCTGGGGACAATCCCACTGCCAGCAACGGGGCAGGGCTAACACTGCAAGCCATGGCAGAGCTCAGTCCAAACCAGCCTCTCCCTGACTGTTATTTTAATTTACCATTCAACCTTGTTTAACAGCTGTAATTTTCCAGGTGCTCCAAACACACCATGCCAGCTCCTTCCAGTCGCATCAGTTAAACAAGGAACCAAAACACACAATTTCCTCAAATCTTGCTCAAATGTCACACATTTTTGTGCTGATATTCTTTCCAGGAGAGGATTTAAAAGCAGTTGGTTTTCTAGGTTATTAAAATAGATGGGAGTAGATTATTGGCTGAGGCTGGGCATGGTATGTGCATAAATGTATGCTTCCCATACTGCCTCCTGTTCTATTTTTGATCCTTCTAGACATGCCCAACATTAGAGAGTATAAACACCTTGCCAAAAGTTCCATAAACAGAGGAAGCTGTTTTATATTTATGGTCAAGAAATACACATATATGTCGATTTTACTAACAGTGCCTGAAATCACTAAAAATAGATGCACTTTAGAAGTAATTTCCTTTATGTTGCACTGTGCTTTGTTAGTCACACTTTAAATTGGCTTATTCAGTTCTATTTCTGTCTGCTTGGAAGACTGTAAAACAATGTAATGAGTTTTTGAGCTTTTTCACATTTACAACAGAAGAAACTGAGCAAGTCACTGACCCAAACAATGTGATCAACAATGGATCTTTTTTCTTTTCTAATTATCTTACATTTTGTACGAAATGTTACAGAAGTGAAATGCTGGTCCTGCTGACCATAAAAGCCCCCAATTTCAAAGAAAGTGTGATTTCCTTGTGCCCTGTTCAATGCTGACACTCCAGATGAGCTCAAAAGCACCCATCCCCTAAGGGAAATACCATGTAAGGTGAATAACAATCTAAAAATAGTCTAAATATTCACTGGACTCCAAAAGACCTCTCCAAAAGAGCAGTGTGCTTTAAATAATAATAATCAATTAATCATAATTACAAATTACGATTATTTATTAATTATTTTTAAAATTTAATCAACAATTATTTCTCCTGAAAGGTTATGCTCTTTTATTATAACAATTCAACATCCTCAGAAAAAGCATAATTTCAAACTGCTGAATGAAACTGAAGACTGACCTGAGTATTTTAAAGCCATTTCCTTTTCTCTGCCCATTTCCAGGTTTTTAGGAAGATAACTGACCCCTCCAAAAAGGAGAAAAGACCAGCTCCACCCTCCTTGACCTATAAACTGCAAAAGCAAACCCAACAAGCAAGGATGTCATTTGCTCTAATTTGTGTGCCTGGCACTGGTGGCAGAGCCAGGAGCTCTCCTAAACACTATTCCAACACTAAATACCTGCCATTTTTCTGTAAAAAAATGAAGGCTATTTTTAAAAGTATGGGTTTTATGTGGCTAGCTTGGCCCTTTTAATAACGGGAAGTTATGGTGAACCCCTGAAATATTTTTATTCTGTAAAGGTTCCCCAAGGAGGCCAGTCCTGAAAGGGGTCACATGAGCTCAGAGAGAGGCAGGAGAAGGCCATGGGAATGGAACATCAACTCTTACCATCCCCTTCATCCACCACTGCTCGGATGACCACAGGGAACACGCCACGGTCCAAGTCAAAGTTCAGCTGAGGGAAAGAAATGAGCTGAGGTTACACAACTCACACCAGACCTGCCTGAAGACAGCACTGGAGATCATGTTAGCTCAGTGAAGGGTCCTTCTGACAGAACCCCAGCTCCTGTCTCAGAAGGACACGACAGGGCAGGAGTGTGGCCACAGCTCTCTTCACAGAGAGCAGCAGCACAACTTCCCCAGGATTTTTCCTGGGGAAGGCAGTGAGAAAACTCAGAGAAGAAAAACAATTCTTATCTCTACTTGCTGCATCTGTTGTTTAGCACATGTAGAATGTGTTATGAAGATTGTTTACCGAAGAAAGATTTCTTAATTGGACTCTGGTGATGGTTGTTTAGATTGATTGACCAATTAGGGCAAAGATGTGTCATGACTCTCTGTAAGAGCTCATGGGTTTTTCTTTAGTAAGTTTGATACAGTACAGTATGTAGTGTAATGTAGTACAGCATAGCTTCATAAAGCTTTTCTTCAGCCTTCTGAAACCATGGAGTCAGAGCACCTTATTCCCCAGATGGGGGTCATCCTACATCAATACAGGAGGATTTAAAATTTCAGGCACCGACTTTAAAAGGGAATCAACTCCAGCATACACACACTGACATGGCACTAAACACCAGCAAAGCAAGGCAAAGGATCTCGGTTGGAATTCCAAATGCTACTTAATTCTCATTAATTCATGGATCCTAAAAGTCTTCTCAGTTATTTGTATTAGGAAAAGTTTCTCCAAATATATCCAGTGCCACAATTTTGCCTCCATACAACAGGATATATTGGCCTCAGCACAGCAGCACATTGTGCTCCCAACACCACAAAGAGACCCTGGCTCTGGTATGAAGTTTCTGAAGACATAAGAGGAAAATCTGCAAAACTTCACGCTCACACAACACTTTAAGGAAACACAGGACTGATTTTCATCTCTTGGCATATTATAAAATGCAGGTCCTTGAGTTTCTAATTGATGAAAATTTGAGTGCAAGGGAAACAGTCTCAGTTTTTCCCTTTGCCCTACACTTCATTAAAGCACATCAAAAGCTCCATGTCATCTTAGAAATACAAGGAAAAGGCAACCTTACAAACACTGTCCTAAGCCAGGGAAGGAAGTGGCTCATGGACTGGATTTCTGCTGGTTTTGTTAATTACTAACTTGGATGGTTTTGTCTCATCTCTTGCCAAGACTGAAAAAAAGACGTCATTTCACCCTGATGCTCCAGGTAATCTGTTTTCAGTTTCTCCATGAAAACTGAGACCCAATTCCAGGTGCTGCAGCAGTTCAGACAGTGCTTAGGGGTTTCCATCCCTCTGCCACAGCCCCAACATCATCTGCAGCCTGATTTGCTCCAGTTCCTCAAAAGAAGGGAGGAACACATTTGAAGGGAAAGTCTCATCACAGAACTGAGGTTGCTTTACCATATAAATTCCAGTGTTCTTGAACAAAAGAGGTCTCTTTAAGGCACCATTTCACATTCATTTTAAGGGCCCTGAACACAACTCACTTGACACAAGCCATGCCTTATAATTTCCAAGCAAATCAGTAAATGAAGAAGACAAAAAAACTTTTATAAAGCTTTTCACAGACCAACTCAACATAACATCAGTCTCCCTTCTTCCCCAGCCAAGATCTACATCATATCCGAGTATTACACTAAGCAAAAACATGAAATAAATCTGGGAGTTTTGAACAAAACCAATAACGAAGCTGGAAAGAAATCTGAAATGTCAATTGCACACAGCTAAGACACTGCCAGCTGTCTCAGATAAAAGTGCTGCATTTTGGTGGCAAGTTGGGAAGATTTAGGACAAGGACCAATATGTAACACAGAGCTGACATGGGAAGGGAAATTCTTTGGAATCACAGTGCTTGTTCCACATTTTTTCCAGCTCCCAGTAACACCAATGAAAAAAAGAGGAAACAGAGGATGCAGCAGAACAAGCAAAGAGAGCTAGAAACTCACTTTTCCTTTAAGCTGTCAGAGGGATATGATTTTAGTACTTGAGTTAAAACCTTGCTGACAGGAACAAAAGTAAAAATTAAGCTTCTCAATTCTTTAAGAAGAAAGGGAACTGAGCTCTCTCAGACAACAGAAGGGATTGAAAAGCAGCTCTTCCAGGCTTTTGTAGGCTGAACTTGTGAAATCATCTATTGGCAGAGAAGCCAGGACATCAGGAGACCAGACTCTGCAGGCTCTTGGTAACCATTTGTTAAGGCACGGGACTGATTATAGTTGTAATTGTAACTTGAGGACAATAGCCATTCAATCTTTCAAATACATGAAACATTACTTTTTTTTCCTCTTTTCTTCTTCTTTTTTTTTTTAATAGGTAGAGTTATCTAGCAAGGTTCACATACACAATACACTTGCACAGGCTTGGGTCAGGAAATGAACACCATTATCAGTGTGCACTTCCTGGGAGAGGGGTCCACAGGAACCAACATATTAGCAGTGGCTACAGAACAACTACTCTGCCTTTGAAATCTCTTACCACAATTCTGCACAGAGCAGGGAAAAGACCAAGGCTTTCCTGCCCTATGCCATGTGCAGGGGAAGCCTTTGTGTGAAAGTTTTAAGGCTCAGAAACAAGAGGCTTACTGCCCATGTTGGAATTTTGCAGATACCAAAGATACCAAAATTAACAGGACTCCACAAATCTTGGTATGCAGAAAAGCCACAGACCTTAATTAAAACCAAGCCCTGGTCTGTTTGCAGTTATGGGTTAAATTAAGAAGAGGAAAACATTCCCTCATTCAGCATTGATGCACCAGTGTAAATCTGCCCCAGAAGGAGAACATTCCTTCATAACACTGTACTGCTACAGATAATAGTGCAGGATGTGGCCCTTTAACAGAACAGGACTCTTCCAGAGCAGTGGTCTCCACTATTCTGATTATTCATCCCAGTAATGTGTTTTGAGCACATACTCCCAAGATATGTGTGCTTATCATCTGTGGGTTATGTACATGTAGTTCTGAAGTCCTTGCCACAGCCCAATGAATTTTACTGCATGCACCTTACTTTGGAGATCACTGTTCTAAAGGACCACCCAAAAAACCCCAAAATCTTACAACAAAAACCCATAAAAACAGAGATCATGACAGACATTTGTTCCCACAAGCTCTTTGGCTGGCAGGGAGAGGAAGGCCAAGGAAAGCAGGTTTTCCAGGAAAAGCTCCAGTGGCAATCTCTGCAGCCTCCCTCCTAAATCAGCTGATCACTAATATCAAAAGTCACTTCTCTGCATTTCGTCCCAGTTGGTCTGATCTGCCTGCCAAGTTCCCATACTGCTCCTCCCAGGGCAGTACCCACAAAACACACTGGAGGAGCTGGGAGAAAGTGTCTCCCAGCCATAACTTCACAGCACTAAACAGAGGCCAGTGCTTTGAGGACAACAGGGTGTGGAAAGAAGGGGACACTGAGAAGACACTTACCTCATCATCCTTCCACTCTGAGAAATCAATCTTGAAGGAAGGCAGGGAGAATTGCTGGCTTACCCCTCTCTTGTAGTGAACTGTCTCGGACTGCAGAGAGGGATTCTTTGTGCTGTATCTGAGGGAAGGGGGAAGAGAAAACCCACTGTAACAAATGACTGCTCGCTGCCCGGCTCTCGCCCGTCGGCCTTTCAGGAATCACAAGTGGCAGCTCTAAGGGCAGAGCTGGCAGGGGCTGGCAGCCATTCAGAGGGGACACAAAGAGGGAAGGGAAAGGTCAAAGCAAGAAGGTGAGCACAGGAAAGAGAAAGCAGCGCAGACAGGCAAGGTCTGATCGTGTCCATACTGACCTGCCTGGAGTACAGGGAGGGTGCAGCAGCTTGGCAAAGGCCTGCTCCCTAAATCCATGGCCTAACTTTAAGCTGGCTTTAAGCCCAGCATAGTCCTGATTTCTGCAGGAAACCCAGGAAGAACAAGCTATGACTTAACACTCTTAACACTGGGAACAGACAACCCAGCATGGTGCTGAAAGCACCATGTCTCCATGGGACAGCTCCACAGTGGGAAATGCTGCTTGGCTTCCACCATCCTGCTTAGCCTTCCAACCCGCTCCTCAATCCCTCCTGTGCTTCCCCAGGGGTGTTGCAGGGCTACCAACACCACCTGAGAGACACCAACCATCTTCCACCCCAGCCATCCAAAGAGTCACAATTCTTCCACTGTCTCAAAGCTTGTCACTGAAACACGAGCACTGCCAGGCTGGGATAAACATCTGGAATGGGACCACAGCTGCCATCCACCATCTTCTGCACCCTGAGCTCACCTGGTGCTGTCCTCCCCAGGAGACATTTCCCTGCCCACTCCCCCTTTCTGGAGGGTGATATCTTGAGCTGGATGTGCACAGCCTCTCCCAGTTCTGGCACAGGAGATGAGGCAGTGAACCCCAAAGCAGGGTGGGAACAGCTGAAGCTGCCTTTACCACCAAAGCCTTTCTTGTCAAATTACCAACTGTGTGCTCAGAGAACACTGACAAACCGGAGAGAAGGTGAGAGATCCCCTGCCCAGGAGACACTGCAGCAACATCCTCCCTCAGCACAGTGACAAGACAGGCTCCAGCCCCACAAAAAACCCCTCTGCCTTTCTCTGGAAAGCTGCAAGAGTTCCTGCATTCTCTGAGGATCCAGAAGGTCAAGTGTCACAAGAGCCACGTTAAATGCTGGAAGGTCGTGACAAAGGGCAGGTTCACCACGTGCACTCTGCTCTTCCTGCCAAGGCAGGTGCATTAAGTTATTTATGACAATACCCTCAGAGCCCATTCTGTACTGGGTTGAAATTGTGCTGCTTTACTAGAAGGTCTCACTCCATCCTTTGCATTTCAAGCATGGTGTGGGGGAGATCAGAGTGACAGGTCTTTTATATGTGAATTACAGAGCGAGCAATTGAGTGAAGTTTTATTTACTGAGTTGTCAAGCACAATGAATAGAGCAAGCCTTTATCTAGCTCCTTTTGTGGTACTCTCAAAGCTTCCCAGCTCTGCAGAGAGGCACAATTCTCCCTCCACAGCTGGGAAAGCAGGAGATGGAAAAGTGACTTATCTAAGGTGACAGCAAGTCAGGAACTTACTGGAAATAAAGTGCAGAGGAGAGAGTGGAGGTGGGAAAGGGGTGTAAACATGATGCTGCTGAGTGCCAGGAATGCTGGAGGACCTGCATTTACAGCACCAGAAACCCAAACCAGGCTGCAACAGAAAAACAACACTCTTCCAAGGAGGACAGGGCAGAATAATACTCACATTGACTTGCTGCTCTCACCGTCCCTGGGAAAAGAAATAAACCAGGCACATAGATTTTCTGAGCTGAAGAGTAGGACAAAATTATTAAGGAGGCTTCCCCAAGTGAGCTTCATGCCTCAGACTGTGTGACTGCCTGGCCCCCATTGCCAAAACATGTCAGACTTGGATGTGAACACCCAGATAACTCTGAACATCTCCAGCCAGCAGCCAGTGGGCTGGTGAGTTCCCTGTGAGTCTGATGGCCCCTGACTGACTCACAGAAATGGATTCTCCTTCCAGTGGGATGCAAAGGTTCTCTGCACAAGACAACACTCCCTGTGCTACGTAGCAGGGACACTTGACAAGCTGTTTCAAAGCAGATATCCTGCATATCAGGGTCTAAGGGGCCTCTACCCATCCCCTGCCCCTTTGGTTGGCATCTGCTGTACTCACAGTCATCTATTCCCTGCCCATGCTGCTGGGGGCTCACAGCAAACAACAGCAGGGAAGCTCTGTAGAGCTGTGCAGATGTGTTACAGAAAAAGAGAGGATGTATCAAAGAATAAAGGACAGCAGAGAAGCAACACGCTGCCTCTCTGCAGGAAGTATGAAAGCTGAATGTTTGGGCTGCTGTTGCTCAGACTGCACTGGGCCAGGCCTCCATCCAAAGGAGGACAAAACCACCTTGTGACCACTGGCAGCTCAGGACAGTGGAGAAGTGAGGGGGGTCTGTCCCATAAGGTCAGGATCACACAGAAATCCTCATTTTAAACCTGTTTGTTTGCTCAGGTACCCCTGGCAGCACGAGAATCACAAGCAGCCTGAGGTACCCCACTGCTGGCTGCAGCAGCAGCCCCCAGCTCTGACCTCAGGCTTCATGAAGCCCATCTCCTCCTGTGAGCTCTGTGACACACCTTTACTCACAAAAAGCAAACTACACTCCGCCCTGACTCCTTCTTCCCTCATGTCAAACCCCCCAAAGCCAGCTGTGTATCAGAGAACCAGCAGATGAGAGGCCCTGTGACTATATCCCAGTGATTTCTGAGAGGACTGGTACAAACTAAAATTATTCCCCAGTCTCACTTTTGCTCTGGCAGCTGAGAAGCACACACTGCCTGCACAGAGAAACTCAGTCTGTGGCACCTGCAGAGCCTAAGCAGCTCCCTAGACAGAAGTGCCGTGCTAGAGTTTGGCTAAGCAGAATTAAACTTCTGTTGCTACATGCTCTCTGGGGTGTTTCCCCCTCTCTCTCATCCCTGGTCTGTCCTGGAGAAGTCCTCAGCAGGGCACCAGTCCCAGCTCCTGCAGACTTCTCCGCTGCTGTGCTCCCACTCAGCCGTGCCTGGCGCTGGGGCTGCTCCTGTTCCCACAGGCACACTGGGACCCCAGACTGAGAAGTGCCACATGAGGATCCTTGCCAGACTGCCTGACTTACACAGAACGCTGTCCAGACACCATTCCTCAGGAAAAGCAAGATGCCTGGAGCATTGTTGCCCCTAGGTAACACTTTTGACTAGAAATGGCTGAGAGAGACTGTGCCTCAAAGAGCCTGTAGACAAAACAAGAGTTCTCTTTCTTTAGCAGCAACTAAACATGTTTTATGGCAATCTGTAGTGAGCCAAGGGTCAGGAGAGCTTCAGAGGGTACTCAGGAAAAAATTTTGCCATTGCCACAGGCTGGGACTGCCTGGCAGGCTCCATGTCCTCATAAAGGTGACAAGGAAGGAGTCAGTCAGTGTTCAAAGGGGACAGGAGGTGATGTGGAACAAGTGTCCTCTGCTCCTCTCTCTCCCACCTGCTCACTCCCCTTTCATTCTGAGGCAGGATCCCACAGGCCAGATTTTGGGGAAGAGGGAAGCTGAACAAATGTTTCAACTCTAAGTGACTTTTACTGACAATAGAAACACTACCAAACTACAGGAAGGCCATAGTCCTGGGTCTCAGTCACAATTAGACAAGATCCACCCCACAGAGGCTCCCACAAGGAGTCTGGAGGTTAACCAGGTGCTAAGGCATTGCACTTGCAATCTCAGAGTCTTCTCCTTCCCTCCTGCTTCCTTTAGGACTGAGTTTCCACTCCAAGCCAGGCAAAGACAACGCCCTCCCCATGCAGCTACAACCCCAGTGCCCACATTCCCCCTCAGCCCCTGCAGAGCTCTGTCTCCAGCTGCTGGGAGCACCACGCTCCCAGCTCCAGCCAGGCTGCAAAGCTCACACAACAGCTACACAGAGAGGCACAAAGGCCACAACTCTTAAGACAGACAGAGGGTTTGTCTGCTTGCTGCAATCTATAGAATTTGGCTCTCCAGCCTGTGAACTCTGCACACTCCAGTGTTCCCTTGGGGACTGGTGTGTGCCTGGATCCAAGCCATAATGGCTTGTTCCTAGCAAAACCCAGCACTCGCCTCTGATTTCTTCACACAGAAGAAACCTCTGCACAAAGAATTTGTATTAATCACCACAGCCAAAAGCAGCAAGAGCACCTTTCAAAGGCCCTGAGCAGACAGAGGCTATTAAATAACCAAAGGAATATCTGAGTGCCTCTGTCTCCTACGCAAGCTTGAATGAAAACAGCCGTGAGCTGAGCCACCCGTTGGGTTTCATTTTGAGACCCAACTCTTCCAACTTCCACACGAGGCAGAGCAGGGAATCATTGCAGTGTCATGTCCCCCATCAGCTCAGGAAACCGTGGGAGGAGGTTTGGGATGAGTGTAGTGGGCATTGCAAAACAAACAAGGAAATGGGGTTTATTTTTTTAATAAATCCATTTGCACATCAGCAACACAAACAACACAGCCCTGGAAAGGGCAAGGATTGCAGAGCTAGACTGACCTATTTTCCTTCTGTTTTCTCTTTATATTGAGAAAATAGAACTTGGCAACAGCACTGGGATAAGGGAGAGAATCTTTTCTGTCCAAAAAGAAAGATCTTTTTCATAAGAATGGGCTGCAAGACTCCAAGCTCTCACGTCCCATTTATCATGAGCTCCTGATCTGCCTGGATTGCTCATGCCTTCAGAACTGGCTCTTTTAAGTACTTCCAGCTCCAGGCTTGGTTTGACTTCTTCCCCTGAAGAAAGAACTGCTGCTGTCATGTTTGAACTGCACAATCCTTCCTGCTAGTCAGCAGGACACCTACAGTTGGAACAGTCCCAGGGGCCCTCCCAGGAGCAGGCTAATGGTGTGCACATCCAGGATTCTGCCAGACAAGGCAGGGATGCACTCATAGAAAGAGAATACAAATATCCCTGCAGCCTACTCCAAAAACACTCTTGTCTCCCAAACCAAGGTTCAAACACATGAACCAGTTACTGCAGGAGAAGGCAGGCTACAACTGGGAGTCTTTTAACTATTATCTATGAGCTGCTGTCAGCCCCACAATGGAAATGCAATGCAGAGTACCCTCTCTTTTATCTGGAGGGAAATTCCATTATGGGCAACCACTAGTGAGTAGTTGAGGCAGAGCTTACACACCTCTGTTTCTCCTGATTTCCAAAACGAAAGAAAATGGACACAGACAGAAAAAGAAATAAAATTGAAGATACTGGGTGGGGGGGAAGTCTTGAGCTATTCAGAGGCAGGTCAGTGCTAATTCCTTGCCACTAAAGAGACTTGGACATAGGTAGATCTGTTACCCTTGGGGTGATGCACTAGCTCATCCTCTGAGAACTGATCTCACCACAAAGTAACCAAGCAAAATGCATTTCAAAGGTGAGAGGAGCAGCCCTCTCCAGATTTACACGAGTTTCTGTTTCATCCAAAAGGCTTCTATACATATCTGCACTCACACCAGGAAGTGCAAGGTACCTTCCCCTGGGCATGGGGCTGCAGAGGTGAACACACCTTTACAGTCACCAACACAATCACCTTGCTAGTCATCTGTGGTCCCACAAAAGGGATGACACAGCTCCCTGTGAGTTCAACAGTTCAGGACAAGAGGCAGGCAGCTGTTGGCAGCTATGTGTTCCCAGGACCTTGGCTAGGAAATACTGCAGCTGAGTGTATCTCCCAGTGCAATTACCTGGGAAAGTCTGCTGAACATACTTTGAGACAGGTTAGGACAGGACTGACAAAGCCACCAGCTTTTAAATGGAGCCCAAATAACCCCAGGAGGAAGCTCCTTGGCTTGCAGAAAGGCTTCCCCTTGGTCATGGAAACTAGCTAATCCTAAGGCCAGACCCAAGACACAGTGCTGTGGCTCTCAGTGAGCAGAGGCTCCACAACAAGCAAAGCCACTGCTCAGGGAGAGCCACCTTCCCTTCCCTTCTCTTCCCCCCCTCCCTCCTCTCACCCCAAACTGTATGACCACAACCACGTTGCTGGCAGGAGTTTTGCAGGAGTGCTGATACTATCAGGATCAGTGGCTGTTCCAGCAGGGAAGCAGGAATAACTTGTTCAGCACTTCTAAGGAGCCATGCTGCAGGCTGAGAGCTGGGAGAAAATTCCTGCTTTTCACAGGGGGCCAGAAAGTTTCTCCCATTTTAAGATTCAGCATTGATTTAGGAGAGTGGAAAAAAAAAGGTGTTTTGTTTTACAGAGCATCTTCATCCCAATCAAGTGCAATAGAAGAAGTTTTGAATTTATACACAGGACAGCTTTTGCACATGCTTGTTCCATGAATGCAGCTGTTAGCACCAAAAGAGATTGAGGAAAAGGAAAATCCACCAGCCCAGGCAGGGGAAAGCTGCATTCCTGTTAGTGCACTGAAATGCACTCACTCCACTCAGAGCTCTAAGAATGCAGCCCAGATTTTTTTTTTCCACTAGTATTTGAAAAGAATAAATCAAAGTAATTACAGCACTGCCCTTACAGAATTGCTTTGCAAAGCTGAAATCAGAGCTTCAAAAGGTTTTTACTAGCAGCCAGCAAATCCAGAGAAGCAGAGATGCCTACTTGGGCAGCTGCAATGGCCCCAAGACGTGCTTCAGGAGCCACTTCCACATGGAAAAAAATAGCCTGGGTTGAATTAAAGCAGCTTATAAAGTCTATATTTGTATCTGACTTCCCCCTACACATCTGCACAAAATCAGGATCATGCCTTCCGAAAAGTTCCCTGGTTTCTGGTGCAGCCCTGCACCCACATTTACATAACATTTATTGTTCAAGCACCCCAGAGCAGACACAGGCAGTTCATCATTCCTGTATTATGGAGAAATGAAAGTAGGATTTATTAAATGAAAGGCCAGAAGTGGAAGAAAGAGCTGAATGTGGGTGCTTTGACCTTTTAGAAGGTTTAGTGCACCAGGGACTGCTGCCACCCCAGCAGGACAGCACAGAACCACTGGCTAATTTTTCATTAGTGAGGAAATCACTGCTGATCCTGGTTTCATGCAGAGGGTTCAGGAACACAGGCTTCAGCTCTGCCATCTAACAGAGATCCCTCTCTCACTGAACCATGGACAGGGTGGATTAAAATAATTCACATTAAAAAAAAATCTTTGAAGTCAACAGCTCTGATCCTGTTCAGAAACTCTACCTAGAAATTGTTCAAATTTAATTTAAAAGCCATTGGGTAGTTCATGTTCAGTCACTGGCTCAGTGAATGGCACTAAATTTCAGAAAAAAGTGTTCTTAAGTGAACCAAAACTTGTGTTTTCTTCCTCCAACCAACCAGCCAAGAAGAGAGCTACTGTAAGTTACAGAGGACTGAAAACACTCTCTGTCCAGAAACAGTTGGTTATATTTGGTAACTAAAACAATTCTATTAAGCAATTATTCTTCAAGGCACAACTTGACAAAAGAGTCTCTTAGGAGTCCAACATGAGCAGTTTAACCAACAAGAACAAACACTGCTGCTCTTGGGTCACTCAGGTACAATTCCAGCCCAACACAGCCTGGTTCAAGACGTGGGCTAAAAAAAAAAAAAAAAAAAAAAAATTAAAATGTTTCTTTTTAGAATAACTTAGGGTTATTGCCATTTTGGCATAAAATGCAAAAGTGGGAGTCTGAAAAACAGATTTTAAACTATATGGATACTCTTTACAGACTGTGGCATAAAAAAGATAGCAAAAGGTTTGAGATGAAGCTCACTGTGCTGCAGATGCAAATGTTTCATTGCTTCTGACCAGTGACAATGAAATTCTCCTTCAGAGTAAACCAACAGGGGAAAACAAGATCAAAATCAATACTTTAAACCAAGCCTTACTGGTTTAAGCCATGGCTTAAGTCTAGCAATGTAAATACATCCACCCTGGCCATAGAGGCCCTCAGTTCTCCCCATGAGCCCATGGATGGTTTCCTCCTTAGGTCAAAAACCAAGGAACACTGCAGGGCAGCACCAGGGACACTGGCCACCTCTCCACGTTGTACCTGTGTTAGGGAAAGAAGACTTCAATCTCCAAGGCTGCCATTCCAACACCTTCACTAGCACTAAATTCACAGGAAACCTAAGGACCTAAGAGACAGAACATGGAAACTTTATCAGGATTTCTAAAGCTGCATTCAGCTCTGCTCTGGAAAAGCTGGATCTAAACAGAAAGCGTATTCAGAGTTTGTTGAGAGATAATTTTCAAGCACTTTAAAAAGGAGCTCATTTATTACCTTCCCACAATAAAGGCAGCCATAGGCTTCAACAGAAGAAGGGAAAGGGGCCTAAACAAAAATTCTGGATCAGGATATCCTCCAGTTTGAAAGAATGCTTATCTGGATTGGGGAATTGAGCTACTCTTGTTTCTAAAAATACACTATTCATTGATCATTAGTGGGATGTTTATACTCTGCATAAGACAAACAAGCCCTGTTATGGTTTGCCATAGATTATTTCTCCCTGCTGAAGCCCCTGCAGGTCCCTTCAACCAAGGGAAAGTTTAGCCCCAGCTCCAGAGCATCACTGCAGAAGCCATCAGCACTATGTCCAGGAGCCTCTGGTCAGCCAAAAGCCTCTACTAGAGGAAGCCAAGAGCTTCTGCAGCCTGAATCTTCCTTTACCCCTGGAGCCAAAGGAATTCTTTGTCCCATGGCCATTGGAAGTGCACCATACCACAGCAGCAGCTCACGTGTACCCAGCTCACACCAGGCAGAGCACATTTCCAGCCACCTTTGCTCTGAACATAGACAGGGAAGTTCACAGTCTTGTGGGATACAGTGTTGACTGGAATGGTTTAAATGTGCTGATTTAGATAAAAAGGCTTTAAATTCTGGAGGGATGTACTATCAGGATATGAGAAGGTTCCCACAGATGACATTTTGGTCATTCTTTCCACAACTAACCAAAGACTAATGTGTACATGGCAGGAAACACACACAGGCAGGGCTTCAGGAAGTAAATCCTCTCCCATCTCCCAACAGCCAGTGTTGAGCTGGGCATTTATCCCAAAATGGGCTTTGGGTGGGCCTCAATTCCACAGACTTGCTCTGTTAATGTCAGACTGAACTTTACTTTGGTGGCCCAGACGCTCCTGTCACAGGGAACACAGAAAGGCAGTGAATTGGGTGATCTGGGAAAAAGAAAATAGGCAGTATTTGAAGGGAAGGGTGGTTGGTTTTTTAATTTCACAGAACACTTCATTGACAAAACATACAGCTGTGAGTTCCTCTCCTTTGTTATACACAGAATGGTTTCCCTACACCCTTAAACAAAACCAAAAAGGGAACAAGAGAAGATATTGGCTATGTGAGGGAATTTAAAGTAATATTCAAAGTCATCAGAAAAAAAAAAAGAAATTTCCCACTCTACCATGTGTGGCAGCCCTGCCTCAGGGGTGATTAATGAGATGTTTGAGAGCTCATCATCCCTGCACAGCTCCTGTGCCCCTCCAGGTGCCCACTAGCCCAGGACTTACACGGCCATGCCACCAACAAACTCCTCTGTAGCCTGGCAGTAGATTGTGATGGCAACACGGGCATCTGCATCAAAGGTGAACTCCAGGCTGTACAGGACCTTCTGCTTCCCATTCTCCTCAGCAGGGCTGTCAACATCATCTTTATACCTGAAAGGCAATGCCAGAGGATTAGAACACATCTTTATGAGAGATCAACAAGATAACTCTGGAAATAGAGACAAGAGTACTCCAGCCTTGGTGTTCCAGGCAGGCAAAGCAGCCCGGGCATCCACCTTGGGCTTCCCAGATTTCCATTCTTTCCCCTGAGGAAGGTTCTTCCAAGATGTAACTAAAGTTATTGTAGTGAACTAACGATGGTGTTGAGGGATCTCACCCAGCCTTACAGTGCCAGGACACAGAATGGGACAAGAAAGGGAGACCTGAATGTCAAATGATTAATTTGACATTAATCAAGGAAGGAAAACATTCTCCTTCCTTTTAAATCTTCACATTAGGCTCAGTATTTGGGCTAAAGAAATCTTGCATGGATTTGAGAAATTTCAAGTGTTTCTGTAACACAAAGAACTCTTGAAGCTCAACAAAAGCTACCTCCAGTATCACACAGAAGATGATATTTACCTCAGAAAACATCCAGATATAGGAACTTCAAACAACTTTAAATGTACAAATGATCAACTAAACCTCTGGTGCTGTGAGGGACTGGAGTTCGCACGCATTTATTGTATGAACAAAAATTAACACATCCAACTGCAAACAGACACATGATAACCAACAGAATGAGCTCAGAAGTTATTTCAATTAATGCAAAAGTAAGCCCTAATTTGGCTACAGGCTCCTGCACAGCTGGATCCCACTGTATGATCACCACTGCCAGGGTTACTCCTTTTCCCTACTGCAGGAAGAAGCACAAATCCAGTGAAGAAGAGGTCTGAAGCATCTCTGGGGCAGCGAGCTACAGCCATGGGCCAGGGGGACTTAGAGAGTGCCAGGAGTGGCCAGAGAAACCAGCAGATCTCGGAACAAGCAGCCAACACAACACACCACAAGAAAATTACAGAATGATGGAATATCCTGAGTGGGAAGGGACCCCCAGGGATCATCCAGCCCAAGCCCTGGCCCTGCACAGACCCCCCAACAACCCCACCCTGTGCCTGGCATTGTCCAAGCACTCCTGGAGCTCTGGCAGCCTCGGGCTGTGCCCATTCCCTGGGGAGCCTGGGAAGTGCCCAGCACCCTCTGGGGGAAGAACCTTTCCCAAAATCCAGCCATTCCCTGTTCCCATCCCTGTTCCATGGAGCAGAGATTGGAGCTGCCCTCGGGAGGAGCTGCAGCCCCCCCTGAGCTCTGCCCTCAGTGTCCTCTTCTCCTGAACTGACCAAGGTCTCCCTGCCTCAAAGAGCAAAGTGACAGACAAATGGATGTGATTCACTGGCAGGGCAGCAGCAGATTCTCCATGAATTCAAATCCCATGACCACAGGTACCACTGTGAGCTCAGGCACTGTGTGGGAATGGTGAGGGCAACAAAGCTGCCTTTGAGAGGTGTAACAGCACTGACCTGTCACCCAGCTCCAGCCACACTTGTTTATCAGTAATACCTTAATTGCTATGATGGCTGGGCCACAGCCAAGCAGCTGAACTATTCAGGAAAAGCTTGGCATCCTCTCTGTCTTCACAGTGTCAGGCTCTCCCATTACTAAACAGCCCTGATGAATACACTGTACTGTCAAAAATACCCAAAAATGGGTCAGACATACCTCTATAATACAATCTAAAATTGGAAGTCAAGGGAATCCTTATTTACCAAGTTCACTGACATATAACAACTACTGCCTAATTAAGAGGGTTGCAGCTTGAATTTTATTTAACACCACACTGAACAAGAATGAAATGTTCTGTTTCAGTAATTTAATACAGAAGGTGCAAAATAAAATTTAAGAGCACGATAATCAAATACCCAACACACGTACTTGTACTAATGTAACCCCAGTGAGCCACTACAGCACACACCTGCATTCCTGTCTGAAGGGCTTGGAGAGGCTTTTGCCAGAGGTTCACCTAGGTCAGAGCAGCAAATCAAGCTAAAAACACCCAACATGCCAGTATAAAAAAAAATAAAATGCCAAGAACTGAAGTGTTAACATCTGCAGAAACCTGGGCACAACATACAGTACAGAGCAAGATGGTATTTTCACAGAAGCTAGTTGCATTCAAGGTGAAAATCATGGCACTTGAAGGCTGTAAAGAGGAAACACTGGGCAGAAGGACAGATTTGCCTAAAGAACACAGGAACCACCAACATTTTTGTGCTGGACTGACCCAAGAACACAGATGGCAACAATCCACTCACAAGTGTTGTGTGTGTCCAAGAGAGCAGCAGCACAAGTCACCTCTTGCTGTGCTGCACTCTGTGGATCCGAGGCTGGAAATGAAGGATCCAGGCTACGACAGACTTGTCACTTCTTCCAGAAGCAGCACCTCTTGCAGGCAGAGGCTCCTTCAGACTCACCTCATGCACAGGTAGGTATTAAATAGAGATGCCCAGCACATGTGAGAGCTACAGCACAGACTGAGATATCTGTGACAATACCAAGTAACAATGGGGACACCTGGGCGTGGGGCAGCTCACACACAAACACGTCCTTGGCACAACCACTGCCTGCTTTGTCTTCTCAGGGAAGGCACAAAAAGCACCCCAGATCACCCTCCTGCTCCCAACCTTACCCTGCACCTCTCTGCCAGCATTCAGCATGTGCTTCCATCCTTCCAAGCAGATAAGGGGTTAAAGCTAGACTAGATCTGTTGCCCTGGGAAACCACCGAGGGGCCACTGCAGTGCCTGGAGGGAAGGTTTCTGAAGGATGCAGGGGGGAGAGGCTGAGCCTTGTCTGCCTGGAACAGCACCACTGGAGCAGAGGGCAAGGGACCAGTGCCTGAAAGGTGACAGTCACAGCAAGGCTGTGCCCTCCTGCTACAACATCCCTGCTGCTGGAGGCACAGAAAATCATTCACAGCCTTCAGCACCTGAACAATACAGGAAGATGCAGAGAGACTATTTGCAAGGGCCTGGAGTGATAAGACAAAGGGGAATGGCTTCACACTGACAGAAAGCAGGGTTAGATAAGACATGAGGAAGGAATTCTTCCCCGTGAAGGGGCTGAGTCCCTGGCACAGAGAAGCTGTGGCTGCCCCTGGATCCCTGGCAGTGTCCAAGGTCAGGTTGGACAGGGCATGGAGCAGCCTGGGACAGGGGAAGGTGTCCCTGCCCATGGCAGGGGTGGAAGGAGATGAGCTTTGAGGTCTCTTCCAAGCCAACCCAGTCTGGGATTCTATGATCTGCCACAGAGAAAGAGTTCAGGTGAGAAAAGACTGCACAGATGGTAGCTGGCCTGAGGAACAAGCAAAGCCTACTATGGTGCATACTTTGAGAGGCAGAGACATCTCATGTGCTACCTTAAGGTGCAGGAATGGTGGGATGTAACATCAGGGAAGTTACAAGACAAAAAATCACACATTTTGCATTCCTCTTTCTTTGAAGGGGATGTGGCAGAAAAGGAGGTTGTTCAGGAGTGGTTCAGGTGCTTCAAGAGCTCGTCTGTCTCCACCTGCACTTGAATTTTACAGTGCCCATTTAGCCAAGCCCTACAGACAGTGTCCATGTGGGGTGGTCCGAGATGCATGCAGAGATTTGGGAACCAGTGACTTTACTGGGTGTGCCTTTGGGTCATGCACAGAGGTGCATCACAGAGCCTTCACAATCACAGGTACAGAAGAAAGAGACTGACCACCTTTGAGAACAAATAGCTGATCCAACGTTTTGATGCAAAAGGCAAAGCAGGATGACCAAGGGAGCTGAGGCCACCTGGTCTGACATCAATCCTGGATAAAACAATGGAAAGGCAGGAGATTTTTATTGTCTGTTAAAGAATTAAAAGATAAAAATATAATTAACAGCAGCCATGACAGTTTTATAGAACTAGTTTGAGCTGAACCCAATTTCATCCTTTGAGGAGATTCAAAAGTCTGACCAACACAGGAGACATGCAGGATAAATGTTAAGTATCCCTTGACTGAGTGCTGTGAGATCTGCATTTACCCAGCGTTTGAGCAGGCAACAAATGAGAATTAGTGACACCTCAGTCAGCACTGACTTTCACAGGGGAGAGCATCACCAGACACAGGGGTTCTCCTGTTTGGGGTTTCTGCAAAGATCTGTCCAGTTTAACACTGGGCTGCAGAGCAGGCAGCCCCAGCCCCCCATCACCTCCACCATAGGAAGAGCAGATCCAAGGACCAAGGTCAGCCCCCTGTGCTGCAGAGGGAAGAGATTTCCTTTCTCTCACTCCCTGCAACTCACCTCTCCCCTCAGACCCCACCATCCACCTCTCTCATGCCCTTATCCAAAACACTCCATGACTATTCTCCATGATACTCTTGATGCTTCAGACACATTCCCAAACCACCACAGCTCCTGGTACCTTCAATGCTTTTGTTCCATGATGCTATCCAAAGCCCAGAAGCTGAAGGAGAGAAGCTGTCCCAGGGTGCAACAACAGACATTGTCTCCTGAGCTGCTCTTCCTCCTGCAGCTGGAAGTGCTTTCAGGAGAAGAAGGAATGGCCAGTACCAGCACAACAGGTACTGGAGGTCCAAAACAAAGTTTCCAATCCAAGGCCAAATGTGGAACACAAGAAAAATAGAAGGAAGTCCTTCTCTGTTAGTTGTTAACAGCAAAATTCCTACTCTGAGGTTCACAGCTACCCTACTCTGAGGTTCACAGTCTCCTCTTGCCAGAGATCAAACACTCACAAGTGACACTGAAGACTCAGAACTTCAACACCAATATCCACAGGTTTATTGTTTATCATGTAAAAATTCAGGATCTGGCAAAGCTCAGAATTTTGTCTGGTCAGAGCTGGAAGGCCAGAGTGGATATTTCCTTATATTCCTCCATGGCACTTCTCCTTCAAGGACAAGCTGAGAGAGTTGCTGTTGTTCAGCCTGGAGAAGAGAAGGTTCCAGGGAGAACTCAGAGCCCTTCTAGTGCCTAAAGGGGCTCCAGGAGAGCTGGAGAGGGACTTTCAACAGGGGCTTGGAGTAACAGGACAAGGGGCAATGGCTTCTCACTGACACAGGGCAGGGTTAGACGGGATATTGGAAAGAAATTCTTCTTTGTCTGTGAGGGTGGTGAGGCACAGGGTGCCCAGAGAAGCTGTGGCTGCCCCTGGATCCCTGGAAGTGTCCAAGGTCAGGTTCGACAGGGCATGGAGCAGCCTGGGACAGTGGAAAGTGTCCCTGCCCATGGGACAGTGGGTGGAACGAGATAGTCTTTAAGGTCCTTTCCAACACAAACCAGTCTGGGATTCTATGAAAAACAGAAAGCTTATGGGGGATGTTACCATCAGAACATACACTTAGAACTTCACACCTGGACACTTGGCTCAGTACCCCTGTATGGTGGAGGATGTGGTAAATTGACCAGCTCTGGAAAGAACGTACAAACCTCAACCATTGGTTGTGAATAAGCCAGGCTGGAGAGGGCACAAAGTGTCCTTCACACGCACAGAGGGTGGAAGACAAAGCCTCTGGGCCAGAAGAGTAGAAGAGCACAAGACAGAATGTACCCTTGGGGACTGCCAATTAAAACCTCATTTTGGGTCTACATCAGTGCAAAATTCAATAGAGTCATGTTGGCAGTGCTGTCGTCAGCACTGACACAGCAGCACAAGAGCCTGTGAGAGCTCATGAGACAGAAAAAGAACTGCTAGTACCAGGAATTAGATGGAGAAAACCTAGACACTGTCAAGGTGCATGGACACTACATTCCAAATAGTCCAGAGCTGCAACACTGGGAAATGGGATGTGTGACCACAGAAAGCAGAATGACAGAACTACATGCACTAAACCACACCGACTGCTCCATTCACAGCCAGGCCTCTCCCAGGGAAAAAGCCACTTCCCATTTGGCTTATGCTCCTTCTCTTTTTTCCTAGAGCAGTACTTCATCCTTATGCTGAAAAAATAGAGCTTTTAGAGCAGTTCACCAATGGTCACTTATTTGGAAGCTCAATCAGCTTTGAAACCACAGGTTTTGCTCATTTAAAACAAAACAAAACAAAAAAACCCACGTCTGTTTTCACACAAAAACAAACTGAGGGTTTTTGGTTATGGCTCCAAGTGCTCATGTTACACCACACTCCCAGAGCCACCTTGGCTGGGAGCTGCAGCTGGAGCCCTGCCAGCACTCCAGCCCCAGACACACAATCCAGAGCAACTCCAGCCAGGATGGTTGGAAAGGCTCTGCCTGGACATCTGCCCAGTGCCCAGACCCAAACAAAGCACTGAATGCTGGGCCCTGTACCTCAGCCATCTGTTGGAAAGGGGACAGCTGCAGGTCTGAGTGTGAGCCAATGCTTTAATCCAGCTCTGCTGGTTCAGATCTCAGCGTGGAGCAGTGAAAGCTACCATCCCCATGACTGTCCTTCCCCCATGCATGGGACACAACTCATCTAAACAAACGCAGAACACTAGGACCAAACTTCCTCTTGGCATCAGGAGAAACCTGAGGAAGTTTCACTCAAGACCCATCAGTCTTCATCACCCGTGACTCGCACCAGAATCAGCTCCCTTCTGGCTTCTCCTTGCACAGGAATGCAGGAAGGAATCTGTCTGTAAAGTTTATTGACCTGACTAATATCTTCCGCTCGTGCTAATGATTTCATGGTTTTGTTTACCACTCCAGTCTGTCCTGCAGAAACAGACACATCACTGGTCCTGTTTGGAAAGATTGCTTGGATAAGGAGCACATAAACCACTTGGAACCTCAAAAGGGAATACAGAAACCTCTGGACATATCTAGCAACAAGGATCTGGATATCAGCCATTCTCCAAAAGCTTACCAATACAGTTTGGCTGTGGCTGACAGATCCCTGGGTTGAGTAAAATGAAAGGTTCAGCTAATGGCAGTACCTCACAAGTCGGAGAGAGTCCTTGCGGATGTTCACCAAACTCCTCAGTGTCTTCACTGGCTCGTGTGGAGCTGGAGTTATATAGGGAAACTGGAATAAAAAGGCAAATCATTCTTCTGTTATTACATTATAAAAAGTAGCACTATGTTACCTAGCATGCAATTTACCCAAATCAAGAAGCACACAGCTTTCAGGGTATTCAGTACAGCAGCCACAAGGAACACTAATAGCAAATTTTATTTATTGATAAATAAAGCCTGTTTCAGGGTGAAAATCCTGCCCTGGCCCAGCAACAGCTCATACTGGAAATGCACATTTTAAGAAAGGGCATTTTCACGAGGTCTTTCTTCCACCCTGAATTCTCACTCAGGAAACCCTTGCTCTCCCAAGCTTTTATTTCCACTAAAGAATCCACCTCCAGCTTGAGCAGAAGAAATGCATCTCTTTCATGTGCATTGCAGCATGCAAGCAGTGATCTGACTGCTAATCAGCATGCTGAAACCCTGGATTACTGGGGGAAACTCTTTTTATTCTGAAACAATGGAGCAAATGTTCTGGAAAAGAAAAGAGACAGGGATAGGGGGCCTCATTCTATTCTACAGTCAAGAAATCTTCTCTCACAGATTGTCCTTTAAATAGGGACAATAATGCTTCAGACTGTAATTCTCCTTAGTGGGCACAGGATCTCCAGTGAGAAATGCAAAGGAAACTGCTCATTGTGGCAATCACAACCTGTACAGCTGCAGACCTGCCTGCTGGGCACCAGGGACCACCAACACATTTCCTTAGAAATGAGGCAAGGCCTCACTTACTCCAAAGCAAGAACTGGGCCCATGTCCAGAAAACAGTGCTGCTGCTCAGTGCTTGAGCGTTTTTTTTTTTTCTTTTTCCTTGAAGATTAATCAGAGCTGCCAAAGGGCTTTAACTTTACATAGGCAAACTATATTCCACAACAGCCTCCTTCTCTTAAACCTACTTGGCAAACGTCCCACGGTGTTAATGGCCTCTCACCCACTCCCCTCTGGAGAAATGATGAAACCCAGTGCTGGGATGTCAGCAAGGAAACCCAGGCTGAGACATGCAGGTAATGTAACTCTGCCAGGTCAGCCCCTGCAGGGAGGGCCCTGTGTGCAGACGTGGCACAGGGGATGTGCTGAGCACCCCCAGGCCTGCCCAGCACTGGTACAACCACAGAGCTCCAGCTCAAGTCTCTCCTTCCTAATTCTGTTGTCCAACTGCACTTCCTGCTTAAACAAAGACTTTCCAGATTCCTCCTTGTCCATCCTGTGAACTGAGTGTGGTTCTAAAGTGACCAATGGCACAGCCTGAGGAGAAACTCAGAAAGCAGAACATGTTTGTAACTGCTCCAACTCCAACCTGCCTCAGTTTCCCTCACCTGTAAAAGCAGGGTGATTCCAAACTATCACCAAGCATTACAAACATGAATTAATTAATGGTCACAGCTTTTCTGATGAGACATGCAAGTAATTAAATTAAATAACTAATTAAACTAGAACCATGACTTCTAGTTCTCATTTTCATGTTTGGAAGCTACAGAAATAATTAAGAACATAGTGAACAAAGCAAGCAGCTCTTCCCTTTCCTCTCCAGCACTGAGAAAACATCTCCAAATGGCTCCTACTCTGTTACCTTTTGGTTCTTTTTAAGCAGTTCTGAGATGCAAGAGAAAGCCAAAACATAACATTCTGCATAGAATCCCTGTCTCTCCCTCAAAACAACATTATTCCCTTTTCAAGAACAAGCCAATCACTTGAGCATGTAGTTTTTCACAGACTCACAGACATCTGTGGGCCCAAAATTACATTTATGTTCCAGCTAGGAAAAGAGAAGGAGGGACTTTCTGAGCAGCCCACCTAGGTATAAACCCACAAAATGTCAAGGTCTGTCTTAACACTGCCCCACACCCAGTCAGGCCACCCAAACACAGAAAACAGCCTGTGTTGAACCCCAAGCTGCCCAGGAGCCTTGGGAACTTCAGGCTCTGCTTCCCAGCCTTCTCTGCAGCATGTTTTACACTTGCTCAGACAGGCAGGCAGAATTAGTCCCAAATTCTGTGCTCCTCAGTCCCTGTTCTTCCTCCCCCACCACTAATTCCTTCTGTCCTGAGTGAAAATAAGCCTCCAAGGTGAATTGACCTTCTCAGGAAAACTCAGTTTGCATCTGAACAGACTGGAATGGCATTCCCCAAGCAGTGAGGACCTCTCAGGTCTGTGCCACTCTCCTCTACAAACCCTACACAAGAGTTTCCAAAACAGGCAGGAAACAAAAAAGAGTAAAACAGACAGAACACAGGAACTTGCCTGAACTGGTCTATTTCCAAGGAAGTTTAAGTCCATGTTCTCACCAAAAAGGTAACCCTCGGGGTGAGGGGTGTCAAACTTCTCACCTCCCATAAAGAAGTGACTTGCAAAGTAGTTTCCTAGAAACAAAAAACACAAGAGAATGACAAAAAAACCCTCTAAATGAGTGCTTCCTGGAAAAGTCCGTACAGTTTTAAATTCACAAGTATAAAAGAGCCACAAGACACAGAAAATACTTACTTATTCAACCCTTCCCTGGAGTACTGAGGACCACTGTCAACAGTAGGAGAAAAGAGAAAAAACCAACCAAACAAAAACAAAAACCTAGAATAAATATTACAGTGGAGACAATTCCATTTCAACTTGTTTTTCAGAGAAGGGACAGGAAGCAGGAAAAGTCAGCTCTTTCCAATGTTGCTCCATTCTGGTCAATTCTTCCTGCTTTCTCCACTTCCCAATGGGAAGCCCAGTCCCACAAACACCATGGACTGCTCAGAGAGGGATGAGGCTTCCTCCCATTGCAAAGTTCAGCACAGCCAAAGTGGTCTCCTGTTAGCCAAAGTTTGTCTTTCCCACACTCCCTTATCCCACACAAGAACCACTCCAAACCTTTACTGGGAGTGCTGGACACTGTACACCCTGATGCTGATTTAATTAATAATGCTGGCAGTTCTAAATGCAGAAACATGGATGTCTGGGAGAGAAAACAGGGACTGACTGAAGTGAAAGTCAGCTCTGAAAGTTTCACCATGAATTTGTTTCATTCATCTTTAAAATGATGCACTACAGTGAAAATTTCAGGACACAAGGCGTGTGCAAGGTCACTGGGGTTCTGGAGCATGAAATTGACTGTAAAATGAACAGAATTAATTCAGGTGTGTAAGCACCACAAACGTAGCTCCCTCCTAGAAAGACTTCAGGAAAACACTCTCAAATGTGAACTTCACAGGGGTACACTTTCAGAGAAATAAGTATCAGGAGAGAACTGAAATAAAAGGCTCCGTCCAAGTCACTTCCCTTCAAGTTTCAGAGGGCAGGATGAGAGGACTGAGCCAATTGTATATTTGCTTCCCTGGGTGCAATGCATAGACAGCATAAATTTGTGTTAAAATGAGTCATTCCAGAAGCAGTAACTAATCATCTGAATGGCTATGGAGACATTCTGGAGAGATCTGCAGTCCCACTAGCGAGGAGCAAGCAGGATTTACTCTGAAATGGAAGGGTTTTCATGAATGGCCCTGTTTTTTCCATTAAGGCTTTCTCCCTTTATCCTTCAAGAAAGGCTCTTTTCACTCTGCACAGATGGCAGTGCCTTAATGATGATGGGAGGGCTCAGCTATTGCTGAGCTCAGCTAACAAGCACCCAGATGTTTGTAGTACTGAAACACGTCCTTCTTTCCACATACAACAATCACCTTCAGCACAGGTCCAGCAGCCACTTAGAATCTGTCCTGCAGAATCAGAATACCAAAATCACAGAATCATTTAGGTTGGAAAAGCCCTCCAAAATCATCAAGTCCAACCTGTGACCTATCATCACCTTGTCAACCAGATCAGAGCACTGAGTGCCACATCCAGTCATTTCCTAGACACAAATGTAAGTGCCCCAAATGACAGGGAATCTTTTCCCACTCCTCCCAGAAGCAACAAATTAAAAAACTAATCTGTATATAATCTCCAAGCACAGCCAGTCTGACACTGCCTCTCCACCAGAGATACACCACGGTGGTATGTATATGCACTGAGGTTCAGAAAACCACACTGAGTGTGGTTGGAGTTCAGGAACAGATTCCACATTTTATGTGGGTCAAGCAGGATTACGTTTTGGAACATTTTATTTGATCAGCTGAGAAGACAATGCTTGTGCAGGATGTCTCAGTACCACAGCAGCTGGTTATCTGGGATCAGAGTCAGAGAACTCCCTCTTATCCAGTGAGTGAGACAGAATTACAGAATCATAGAACTGCCTGGGCTGGAAGGGACCTTAAAGATCACATAGCTCCAACTCCCTGCCAAGGACACCTTCCATGACACCAGGCTGCTCCAAGCTCTGTCCAGCCTGGGCCTTGGACACTTCCAGGAATGATGAAGCCCCAGCTTCTCTGGGCAAACCTGTGCCAGGGCCTCTTCACCCTTGCAGGGAAGGATTTCTTTCTAATATCCAGTCTAACCTACTCTCTGTCAGTTTGAAGCCATTCCCCCTTGTCCTGTCACTCCAGACCCTTGTAGATAATCCTGCCCCATCTTTTCTCTCTAAGCTCCCTCCACATACTGTAAGGCCACAATGAGGTCACCCCAAAGCTTCTCTTTTCCAGGCTGAACAATCCCAACTCTCCCAACCTTTCCTCCCAGCAGAGCTGCTCCATCCCTGGGATCATCCTGGGGCCTCCTCTGGACTCCCTCCAGCAGCTCCACATCCTTTCTGTGCTGGAGGCAGCTCTGCAGGTGGGGTGTCACCTGCACAGAGGGACAGAATCCCCCCACTCCTGCTGCCCACGCTGTGGGACCAGCCCAGGACATGGTTTGAGAGCTTCTCCAGAGATGAAAAGGTCTCTCTTGCTCCACTGGAACAACACTCAGACACAAAACCAGCACGTTCAAGGCACCTGCCACACTGCCACTGCTCCAGTAAGAACTACTTTTGACATCTCTACCAAATTGTTGGGATTTCTCAAAAATACAGTAGCTGGAATCACAGCTCCAGTTCCACATTCAGACTGAACTCTATTCATCTTCCTGCTAAGTCACCTCCTGCAATGTGAAGGAGAGGTTTTTTCCTCCGAGGCACTTCCTTCACAAGCAAACAAGAAACACAGTGCCAGGCATGAGGAGCAAGGGAAAACCACTCTGGGGTGCTCAGAGGGAACACACTGGTGATCAGAACAACCCCGAGGCTCTGCCACGGCTGCTGCACACACAAAAGCTGCCACGCACACGAGGTCTCAACAAACAAACAAACCAGAACGGCAGCAAACTGTCTCCACAAATTTATAACACAGTTTTCAGCAGCTAAAAAAATATATTCTGTTGCAAGCTTTCAGAAAGCACTTGCTACAATGACACCCAAAGTTCACAGCTCTCAAGGTAAAACCAAAGTTATGCATGAATTCTCTCAACCACTATCACAACCACATCGGAGTTTGCCCAAGCTGGAGGCAGAACATTTTAAGAAAGTATTTCTTAAATATCACACTAAGGACTAAAATGAAAAGGAAACTTCCAGATGGAAAATATGAGGCATCCTCTTTTGCAGTCACTGTGACATTTAGGATTTTTAGTGGCTCTAACAGGCCTGCATACATTTTCTATGCATTAGAATCTGAGGTTCCATTTCCAAATCAGTACAAAGACAGCTTTAGAACTTCAGCCAGGCTATCATGCCTCTGGAACCTTGTTCCTACATGTTCTCCCAGGCTATAAAACCACCTTAAGCAGGTGTTCCAAGGGCAGCTTTACACACAGCTCTGTAGCTATGGGCACAAGGAGAATGCTAAGTGCCATCCTCTTTGGCAGGAAAAAGGAAAAGCAAAAAATCCTTGAATTGATCCTCCACAGAACTGCTACAAACAGAAACCCTCCAGGAAAATGCAGTGACACGCTGACCAGGAAAGAATCACACATAAATAGAAAAGGATGGAATAGGACAAAAATGCCAAAACAAAGAAAAACTGTGGCTGTACTTCCCCAGAGTAAATCAGCACAAAGCACAGAGCAGCATGAGATAAAAGTGAACATGACCAAGTGAGGTAGATGAAGCCCAAGCAGTGGTTGTAAGAGAAATTCTTGTGGTGGAAAACTTTACAGTGGCTGGAAAAACTGGGACCACTGGGACACACAGAACAGCCAAGGCTGACTCACTCGTTTGTCCCATGCAAAACCAAACTGGAACCCAAGGCTCCTCCAAGGCATCAAATGACACCAAAATACTTTATATTTAGTCCAACATACTGATGGGGGTTTATTATCATAACTGCACCAACATTAAGCACCAGATTGCCAAATCATAATTACCTCTCCCTAAGCCAGCATCCTAATCCCATATCCATGCAACACATGGATGTGATGCACAAGAAACGAGCTGGGAAGGGACACAACCTACAGGAGGCAGGAGCACAACTGTAATCCCATCACAGCATGGCTGTGTCATACAACATTCATTAACAGAAAGCATTTAGGTGCCCATTTAGGCTTCTCACCATTAATGCAATTAACAGTGAAGTGACAGAAATTGGGCTGTGTTTAATTACTCAGCCAGACAGTCACCACCATGGCAGACTGACAGCACAGTCCCAGGCACAGCCTCAACCAGCACACAGGGACAGTGACACTGTCATGGTACACAGTAGCACAGGGATGCACTGGGTATGACTCTGGATACTCTTCTCCTATTTAAAACTGCTCTTTCTTTGATTAAAGCCTCATTCCCAAACAACAAAGCAGTTCAGCTTCAGAGAGGAGCAACCCACTTCCTTTTTTTCCTCCCAGGAACCTCCAGGGAATCCTCTTCCAAGAGCCTACTCCAGAGGAGACGAGCCATCCCAAGGGCACGTGCTCCGTGCTGCAGAGGAGCTCATGGAACGGGAGCAGAGCTGTGGGAAGCACAGGGGCATTGCTCACTGCTCCAAAGCAACAGGGGCATGGCAGATCCTTTCACTGCTCCAAGCACTGAAGCACCACAGAGATCACAACATCCCTGCTAAACAGAGAAAAAATACCCATTTTTAGCCTGTTTCACAGAGGCACTTACTCTGTACAAACCAGGCCTTCCTCCCAACCCATCAAACAGGCACAATGCCAGCACGGGCTCCATAAAGCAAGAAATTTTGGTTAAAAGGTACCGGCAAAGAGGGGTCAGACAAGGAAATTGGGTTATCACCTTACAGCAGCCTCAGTCACTGAGATGCAGAAGGAAAAATGTAGATGATACCCACACAGAGCCTTGGAGGAAGAAGCAGGGCATTTTCAGAGGATTTTTTACTACAAAACTGCACACAATTTCCAACAAAGCTGTTAAACAACCTGCTTCACTGAGGCCTGGCTCATGCAGACCAAGGTGAATTCCACAGCAACCTGCTCCATCCTCCCCAGGGCACACGACTGACCCAGCAACAACCACATCAAAAGCCAATAAAGGAGAAGTGAATATTCACCTCTGCCTTTGCAACCAGCTGTGACTCAACACGGCTCAGTGACCGTGTCCCTCTCCACAGGCAGGCTGACACACAGCTGAGATCACAGCCAGAATACCTGCATTTAGGGTTGATCTCCTTGCACAGTGTGTCCTTGGGAGGAGGTGTTTGCTCCCTCATCAAACACAAACCCTCATCCCTCCAACCATGGGCAGCAGCTGAGCAGACATTTGTAGCAAGTCAAGATCTGTTGAAATCAGAGACAAGGAGGGATAGAATGGAAAAGGAGAAGGACAGTGCTGCACACAGGATGGGTGACCTCAGGTAATGCTCCCTCACCACTCGTTCCAGCCTGTCAGGGGTAATCTCAGAGCCAGGAGTGTGTGTCAGGCTCACTCTCCAGCACACACATCCAACACAGCCCATGGAAAACCAGACAGGGCTCACAGCAGCAGTGTCCAGTGAGAAATAATTAGCAAACATTTAGCCCAAGAACATGTTGTACTACTTCCAGCTTGCTTCCTGAAATCAAAACTGTACTCACTCACTTCCAGTCATCCTCACTGCCAGGTTTGGTACCAACCTTCCCACCTCCAAGACAATCACTCTGGAGATGGCAGGACCTCAAAGGACACTGTCCCTCTGAACACGCTGCAGGAGGGAGGGGAGCTGCCATCCTCACAGCCCTCACTGTTCTGGGCTTTGAGCCTCCACCTCACAGGTGTTCACCACCTCTTCTTCTGCCTAGAGCTTGAACAGCTCTTCTCTCTCCCCAAAGTCAAGAGGATCCTTGTTAGATAAACCCAAAGAATGTGAAGAGGAAGCCCTGGCTTAACACCAGCTTTCAGAAAGAGCACAAGAAAATGCCACAGAGAATTAACTAGCAAGCCTTTAATTGCATCCAGAGCCTTTGTAAGGAAATACAAATATTTCCATTTAACCAGCTGCTTGAAAGCATTGGCTGTTCAGTTCCACAAGGGAGGTATCACACATGGAACACTCTTTGGTAGCATTATGGTCCACAGATCCCCTTCCAGGGAGCATGGTACCACACAAACCCAACCTCAGGAGTGTGATGGGGTTACCTTGACAAGCCCCAAACCCAACACACCACTAACTTCCAGTTCAACTTCCAGTTCAACAGCACAGGAACAACAGGATGGTGACGTGAAGAAAGTTTAATGTCCATTGCATATGGTGGTTATAATTATTCCACTCTTTGTCTAAAATGCTGTCACACACAGATCCAGCTGCAGCCAAACTGTGACACCTTTCTCAGCTGCCCAAAAATCTAGCTCCCAAACCCCTAAAAAAAAGCAGTCATATTTTCTAAGAGAGCCAACACAGCTGTTGGACTTTTCTAGGCAGGTTTCCCCCTTCCACTTCCTCCACACCACCATTCCTGCTGAAAGCCAACCTGCAACAAGGCAAGGTGTAACGGTGACAGGACTCCATTTGAGATGATCCTGCACCCCCTCCAAACTGAACAGGGGTCCTGGCTCCCTCTGAGGCTATCACAGCCAGCAGGTCATGGACACACACAGGACCTGAATCTCTGAATGAAAAGTCTTTGTATCTGAGAGTGAGGGGACCCAAACTGCTGCTCTGCAAATTCTTCAGCCTGCCTGGAAAAGCCCTGACAGAACCAAAACCTGGAAAAAAATGTAAGCAAATGGATATTGCAGGGGAAAAGAGTACCTGAATTTTCCTGATCACTTGTTTTCCGAGAAGAATAAGTAAAACTCTTTAAACAAGTTAAACCTGGTCAATCCCAAAGCCAGCCCAAGACGAGTCACATGCTCATCCCAACTGCACGCAAGGGGCACTGACAACTCTCCAAGCCTTGAGAACAATTCCCTGTGGAAAACAGACAGCCAGCGGGCTGTGTCAGCCCAACAGCTCCGAGGTGAGAGCCACTGCCATTTTAAGGAGTTACAGGGGTGTCATGCGGGAATTTGGCCACCCTACACTCAAGCAGACGCAGCTCTGCTCCCTGCCCACCGAGCTCCGCCGCAGGCCAGGGACGCACAGCGCGCTGGGGCCGCGTTTCACCGCGGGGAGCGGCCCCCAGCACCCGCAGGAGCCCGGACCACGGGCGGGGACAGCGCCGGGCGGCTGCGGACAGCGGGACAGCTGAGCCCGGATGGCGGGCACGGAGACACCCTGAGTGCAGGGCACCGAGCCCCGGGCAGCCCGGCCCGGTGCCGCCGCCGTGCCCACGGACATCCATCCACGGCCTCTCCGCCAGCGCGGCCGGGCAGGGCCGCGGGCAGAGCCAGAGGCGGTGACAGCCCAGGCCGGTGACAGGCGCTCCCGCAGCCCCTTCCCCGGCCTCCCCGCCCGGCCCCGGGAGCACCGGGCCCGGCACGGCCTGTCCCCCTCCCCGGTCCCCGCGGCCCTCACCGGACTTGGGCGGGTAGCGGTAGGCAGAGTTGGCCTGGATGTCGATGTCCTCCACGCCCGCGATGCGCCTGCTGAGCAGGGAGCCCATGGCGGCCGCGGACAGGGCGGGCGGCCCGGGGGCGCAGAGCGGCAGCGGCGGCACCGGCACCGGGACCCGCACCCACGGCGGCGGCGCGGGGCACGCCGGGACAGCGAGTCCTCCCGCCCCGGGACTACAGCTCCCGGCAGCCACCACGGCGGCGCCTACCAACGGTGGGGCGGGGAGGCGGCGGCATCTACCAATGGCCGGGCGGCGGGGGGGCGGTGGCTTTGGCTCCGCCGGCAGAAGGCGCTGCGGCAGAACGGGGATGACGATGGGAATGGGAATAGGGCTGGGAATGGGAAAGGAACAAGGATGGGAACAGGAGTGGGCTCAGGGATGAGCATGGGGCACTCTGCATGGGAGGGACCCGGAGGTGGAGATCACCGGGGCACACCTTAGGTGGAGAAGCCCTTGGGAGCTCACGCAGGGACGCACAAGGAGGATGCTTGAGGACGCATCCTGGACAGGGAAGCACAGGGAGGATGGATGCCAGGGACACACCTTGCACAGGGATGCAGAGGGAGAATGCCCAAGGTCATGCTCTGTGCAGGGATGCAGGGGGGGGATTCCCAGGGACACATCTGGCACAGGGAAGCACAGGGGAGATGCCCAGACACAGCCTGCACAGGGATGCCCAGGGAGAATTATCCAGGGCACTTCCCAGAGGTGGGACCTGCTACTGGCTGAGGCTCAAAGCCAGCAGGAAAGGAGGTGATCTGCCTCCCATCTTGGAAGCCTCTCCTTTCTGGGTTCCTCCCCTCACTAATCCCCACACATGAAAGGAAATGGAGATGCCTGAGGTTTGGATGTGAGGACAGGGAATGGCCACAGGCTGCCTCACATGTGGGACAAAACAGTCGGGAGGATAGCGCGGAGGAAGAGGCACGAAAAAGCCACCAATGTCCCAAGACTGAGCCATGATGTCCCCTCTGGCACCGAGAACACAGAAAAGCCGCTCCCTGTGATGGGAAGTACCTCCCTGCACATAATGCTGCAAAGGAACTGGGGACCCAAATTCCCAGCAGTGGAGTTGGGAATCACTGGGAGACATGAAGGAGCTGAGGCGGCACACGTGAAATCCCTTAGATTGGCCTTCGGAGCAGGGAAGAGGGCTGGGATTCAGGGAGATGGGATGGAGCAGGGAGCAGAGCCTGCCAGCACAGGAGGATTTTGTGATAGCAAGTGAGCAGGCAGTGGGTGGAATTTGCTGGCTGTAAACACAAACTAAAACACGCCCAGCAGGAATAAGCAAACAATCCCAAGGCGAAACGTGCTTCCGGACAGTTATTATCCTTGCAGCTGTTGTGGCCACACAAACACAGCCACAGGGGCTGGAAGAGGCACGGGATGCAGGGGAACACATGCTGGGGGTGAGGACAGGAGCAGAGCTTGCTCTTCTGCATCCCATTGTGCAGCAGGGCTGGGAAGGAGGACAAGGAAAAAGTAGGGAAGGAGCAACAAGTCCTGCTGGCCAACCACAAGAGTTGGGTACCCTGCACCTGGCACAGGGGAGCCCCAGGCTCTGGCCGTGCCTTGGCAGTAACTGTGCCTGTGTCCCCCAGGATCCTCCTGGCACCTGGAGGGCCAGTGCCTCTTGCTCAAGCAGCCTCTCCGTGCAAGCATTCCTCATAACATGGACAGGGAGGGATGGAGCCTGCTGACCATCACAGGGACAGGGATGGGCTCTGCTGACCATCCCAGGGACAGGGATGGGCTCTGCTGACCATCCCAGGGACAGGGATGGACTCTGCTGACCATCACAGTGACTCGTGTGCTGGCCCAGAGCGTGTCCCAGGCTCCCTGCCTGCACAGCCACAGGAACAAGCTCTGGGCAGTGCCCTGGCAGCAGTGGGATGATGTGAACAGCTCGTGTGCCACCAGCAGCCCCAAACTGAGCAGGGTGAATCCACAACCCCTGAGGCTCACTCTGCAGGCCAGCAGCTGATGTGGGGCTCAGTGCTGGAGCAGACTGGGCACAGCAAGGATCAGTGGGTCCATCTCCCTGTGCTGCCCTGAGAACTGGTGGCCAGCTGGTCACAGCCTGGGGGCAAACAGAGTAGTGTTTGCACCATGAAGCAGGTGAGGAGGGGAATTTGCATCAGACAAAGATGAGAGTCCCTCTCCCTTTCCTCACACATCCTGAGCACTGAGAGAGCATCCTACCCTTCTCCAGCCCAAAGAGGCATCCAGAGGCAGCTGCATCAGAGCTGTTCCCCAAGCTCTTTTTGTGACACGGCCATGAGATCCTAGAATGGTTTGGGTTGGAAGGGACCTTAAAGATGATCTCGCTGCAAACCCACATTCCCTGAGCACCTAAGAGCTCGGTGCCATGTGGGTTAAGCAGGGAGAGCCAGGTCCCACAGCCGCGGGGCGCTGGCTCTGCCCGGGAAGCTGCAGCAGGTCTTTTGTTCGTGCAAAACCCCCAGCAGCGGGAAGGTCCCTCCCGGGCCGCCCGGCTCCGCGGAGCGCTCACAGGAAGCCGGCGGGCCCCGCGGGGGTTGTTGCCATCTGGGAGGGCAGGGGCTTTTGCTGGAGAATCTGTCCCGGAGGGCTCTGCTCCGTGAGACGTGTGTGACAGACAGTGACAATAGGAGTGGCGTGCCAGGGCCGGGCTCAGCCCTTCCGCCCGCATCCCAGGGCCCGGAGCGAGCGGAGCTGAAGGGCAGCAGCTCCTTTGCCCCCGCCCGGCCCGCTGGACGCAAGCCCTGGCACACACAAAGGCAGGATATTGCACCACGGCCCCTCCATCCCACCAAGGACCACTGCCAGCAGCACGGGGAGGAGAGTGGATGGCTCAGGGCAGGGAGCAGGGCTGCCCTGCCAGGGTCCCACAGCTCCTCAGGTGGGTCCCGTGGGCCGCAGGAGTGGCACTCACCCCTTGCACTGTGGCAGCTGCAAGGAGCAGCAACAGCCCCACAAACCCTGGTGGTGCCACCCGAGTGGGTTTTGCACCTTCACCCCTGGGTTCCCTGAGATGTTTGTCCCCATTTTGGTGCTGCCAGCCCCAGGGGTTGTTTGCACCATGAGGGAGGAAAGCCACAAAGATGAGAGGTCCTCTGTGAGAAAGGGATGAAAATGCTTTCACAAGGTTCAAGGGACCTGAGACCCTGAGTGCCATCATGGTGTGGGGTGAGAGTGGCCAAACTGGGAAGGACCAGGGTGAAACTGGGCCAGGGCTCCTGCCACCAGAAGCCTGCAGAGCCCCAGGGGCAGTGAGGAAACCTCAGCTCCTGCACTGCCTTCCAGCTTGGAAAAACCCATCCAGGAAAAGATGAGGAATCCTTTGAACCCCAGGAAGAAGAATCCACAGAGCTGCAGCCCAGAGGAGGCAGATGGGCCAGAGGGACACCCACCCTCCCAAGGCCACATTTCTCCAGCCACCCTTCAGGAGCCTCCTTGGACATTCTGCTGGGGAGGCAGCTACGAGCACACCCGTGTAAACAAGGAAATCGGTTTCCCTGCAAAGCTCCCGGTCACCAGAGCAGCTCATCCAAAGTCCAGCTGCTCAGGGTTTATTACCCAGTGCTTTGTCTCTGCTGTTCCCACTGCCACTCACTGTTTGTCAGGTACATGTAGAACAACAAGGTTCAGGAGCCCAGGAGACAACACACGGAGTTACAGCTCACCAGGAGTGGTGAGCCCATGAACTTTGCCTCCCTAAACACTGCCCAGCTCTATAGGGCTTACAACCCTTCCCGAAAGCCCTGCCGGGCCAGGCCCAACCCTTTTCCCTCCAAACACCACAAGGTTTCTAAACATGCCTGGCTCTTTCTGATTAAAGTTATCATTCAGGAGATTGGTTTTTCCTGCTGTATTTATACCTTGGTGGCTACAAATCTCCCTGTGCCACCTCTCTCTGGGGGCTGTCTTGATGTTTTAAGAAATGAGCAGTCACCTCTTGATATGTCCCACCACCACATACATCTCTGCCCTCACTTGTATTTAGGCAGTGAGATACACAGAATGAGAAGGAAAACCCCTTGGCCCTGAAATTCTCCAAGGCTTGGAGAGGCAGAATGATTGTGTAACTTCAGAACAGCTACTAAAGAACATGTGGCAAACGGTGACTAGCTTTGGACAATACCAGAGCAATTCCTGTTCACGCAGTGGAGGCTGCAAACCCCACTAATCAAGTGTATTACCTGCCTGAGCTTCAGCCATTTAATCCTCAAGGCTCAGAAACACCAGCAAAATGCCAGCCAGGGTCAGAGGTGTTAGTAAACAATCCACTCGTGGCCAGGCTAAACCTCCCCAAACTGCAGGAAACAGCCCAGAACCTCCGCTCAGGAAAGGTGGAGGCAGCTGGAGCCGGCAGCTCCCTTCATCTTTTCCCTGGTGCTGTTAGCCCCGGGCACTGAACCGCGGGTCTGTGCCTGCTCACCCTCAGCAACACCACAGTGCGCTCTGCCGGGCCTGCGGCGCCGGCCCGGCCGCGGGCTTTCATCCGCCTGGCACTGCCGCGCTCTCAACGGAGCCTTTCACCGCGCCGGGAGCCCCGGCACCTTCCAGAACCTTCCCTCGCCTCCGCCTCTCCTTCAGCTCCCGTCAGCCGCCTCGGCGATGCACGGACACGCTGCGGCCGAGGGAAAAACGGCACCAGGAGGGGTGGGCAACGCGCCCACACTTTATTAGCGCTGATGGAGGGCGCGGGGGCCAAGGGGCCGCTGCTCCACCGCCTCTCGGGCCGCGGAGCTGTACGGCAGCTAAGAGCCAAGCGGTCTGCACCAAACCCCCGCAGGCTGCAGGAGGGTAATGACAGGGCCTGCGGGGGTTCGCGGTGCCGAAGGGCGGCAGCGGCGACAGCGCTCCCCCGGCCAGGCCGGGCCCGCCGCTCCCTCACGTCAACAGGAAACCGCACGCGGCCGACTGTAAACACCGCCCGCGCCCACGTGACCGCGTGGCCCCGCCCCGCGCGCGGCCCGCCCCCGCCGCCCTCCCATTGGGGGCCGCGCCGTTGTTGACCATATACGGTCAGGTACTACCAAGCCGCGGGCGGCGGTTGGCCGGCCCCGCGCGTCACTCAACGAGCGCCGAGCGCTCCGCAAACAAAGCGGGGCCTACTGGGAGTTGTGGTCCGAGCGGGGGCAGGGCGGCGGGACGGCGTGGT